CATGAGCTCATCTGTGATGTTGGAGAATCTGGTGCGCACTTCATGAATAAGTTTACCATCATTCATGGTGAAATCTTCAAACTGAGTAGAAAAGAGATCTAGCTTAGATTTCCTTATTTCCTCAGTTCCCTCATAAGTTGTTTTTAACAGATCCCAAATTTCCTTGGTTGATTCACAAGATGAAATCAGATCATATTCATTTATACTAAGGCCACACATCAATAGCTTCCTTGCTTTATGATTTTTCTGGACTAATAGTCTGTCAGAGTCATTATATTGTTTTCTAGTTTTGGGAATGACTCTTGTGACCTCTCCATCTTTAACCTCCATAGTTGGCACATAAGGACCTTTACATATGATATCCCATACTTCACTGTCCTCAGCCATGAGATAGTCTCTCATTCGAATCTTCCAATATTTATATAGCTTACTATCAAACAGAGGAGGTCTTGCGGGAGATTGATTTCTTTGCTTATCCAGTAGTGACGCCATTTCTCGCAGGGACTTCTCTCTTGGTGTTAACCAGATAGAGAGCACCTGCTCTGATACCACTTGATGGAATATGTGCGTCCACTACCAGTCAATGGACCAGGTCCCTTGACACAGCAAAAACAGTGCAGAAGATTAAACAATATGAAGAACACAACACAAGCAGTTTACGTGGAAACCTCCTTGCTCAAGGGAGTAAAACCATGACCTGTTGCACAGGATTTACAACCGTCTTCACTAATCTTCTCAAGCAAAAGTGAAACCCGGTTACAATCAATGTGAGAAAAAGTTATTAATCTCACGATCAAGTAATCTACCTATTACTTGAAGAGCCTAAGCGGATACCACACCGCCCACTAAACCACCTAACTCTAGATGACTTAGAATTTGACTAAGCAACAAAACAATGTTGCCCACTAAATCAATTAACCTTAACTGATTTAGACTTTTACAAACCAAAAATAAATATCTGAATCCTTTATAGATTAGGAACAGATTTACAATGTAAGTACATAGACACAAAGCTCTAAATACAACAAAGATTCTTCTTTACTCTATCAGGTCCTTCTGTTGAGTTGAGCAATGTTCTTCCTTGAAGATGGCCTTCTGTTCAAGCTTGTGAATTTTCAGAGAAAATCCAAATTTAATTTGCCAAGTCTTAAATTTGTGTTTGTTGGAAAGAGATAATATAAATTCCCACAAATTCGTTGAAGTAATCCCATTGGCTGAAGGCCTGCTGTTGGAAAAGCTGTGCATCTACCGCATCAGAGATGACAGCTTTTCTGACAGCTGTCTTTTCGTCCTTTTCACGTCGCTGTCTTGCAGGTACCAGGTCCCTTGCTTGCGGGAACCAGGTCCCTTGCAAACTTCTATATGAGTTCTTGAAAAGGCTTACTGGCTGACTTCCTTCTTTGGATGAATGAATATAATATGGTGTTTGTCATGCTAAAAATATCAAACATAAAGAGTTATTATCCGTTGGACAAACACCCTCCTCCATTCTGATTGGTGTAGTACACTGACGCCTTACCAACCTCTGACGTGACAGCTTTACAGCTGTAACCATTATGTATCTGATGGAGGAAACTCTGCCTGGTACCAGGTCCCTGCATTTGTGAGATACTGAAACATACAATCTCGTCCGCTCTTCTTATTGGTGTAGGATACTGCATGTTTCACCTACCACCTGACATGACAACTTTTATGACTGTACCCCATTTGTATCTGGACGAGAGCACTCTGCCAGGAACCAGGTCCCTGCATTTGTGAGGATCATCAAAACACCTAGAATATAACAGATGGATCCTTGGAAAAAAGGGCCAGAGCTAACGTCTGAGACTCTGAGGCATTATCTGAAGTTAAAGTCTATCAAACAGATGTGTCGATATCAATGGATAAGTTTTCAAGAACTCAGATATTCAATTAGATGACCACCTCATCAAAAGCTTTTATTATTAGAAAGAGCACAGTTTTATTTACTCATGTATGACTTCAATACACCTTTACATGTGGTCCAGATTTTTGTTTTCATAGGTCAAATGCATGAAATCTTTTTAACTTAAGGGTGGTTGTGAGACTTGAACTGCGGATCTCTTCCTTCCTCGACAACAAATTCTGTTGTGTGACCATCTTCTAAAAGCTTAATTTGTCAGATAGAACAATCTTTTTTATTTTTCTTTCGTTTTCAACATTATTGGAAGTCCAAAAAACTTATTAAACTAATACAACCAGAAATTATGTATAAGAATAGTCAAAATCACATCTATAATCAGTGTTTTGTACAAAAAGACCATGTTTAACTCCTATGGTATATCGAACATGGTTTAGGTGGAGTGCATTTTGTCCAACTTGTACAAGGAACACACACAACTATCTAAATGAAGTGTCTAAAACAGCATGCACTTCACAAGCTGTCTCTCTATATGTGGGCTGTTATCGTTTACACTCAGAAGAAGTATGAATGAGAATGATCATATTAGCTTGCGGTGTCTCTTTATATTTGGGTTGTTGCTGATTTGAGTAGGCAATGACCTGCTCATGGTTTCCGAACCTATAATTTGCCTCGTTAAACCTTTTTAGACAGAGGTAACTATTTGTACGAAATGACTTCTCCAACCCTGACAAGTTATCTGTTCCACTTTTAATGCTGGAATCAAAATTTGGATCTCTTAAAATTATGTGATTTTTGTCGCTGAAATGTTATTGGCATCTGTTAACAGGAACTCTTTCCTCTGAGAAACATGGTAATTCTTCATTGTTGAATGATGAGTATTTACATCACAACCATAAGAATATAGAAGGTTATGATGCTGCCGCTTCTTATATTCTAGAAGAAAATGCATAACAGCATAGCTTAGAGTGAGATTTTATCATATTGACATGGAAGAACTCACCACCATGAATTCTCAATGCAAGATATGGAAGTATATAAGGTGGATAAGCTATTTAATCTTGTTGAGTTAGATTATCAATAACTGGGGGCTAACTGGTGTCACAATCTATTGTGCTACTCATTGCCAGGGACCCAGCTCCTTCATCATCATTCATGTTTGTGTGGAGATCTTGGCAATATTACATACCGGGGTGTGTGGGAGGAGTAAAAATCTTGATCTTGAATTTTAGTTTACTGTTCAAATGGAATGAAATTTATCTTTTGTTTTGCTTGTAGTGTTCCTCGAGTTGTTTTCCAGCTGGTATCTTCTTCTGTTCTCCTATTTATCCATGATATAAAATTGAGGTATGATGTAGGTTGTAGATTCCATGGTGGTTGAGCGGGCACGTGGTGAATCCCAAAGCATGTATGGATCTCTTCAGTCACTTTGCTGGGGTTCTTCAGCATGTGGTGGAATTGTCAGTTCTTACTTTAGTGGATCCTTTGTGGAAGTTTATGCTGTGAGGTATGATATTTTTTCATTCTGTTGAGAATTGTAGCCTGTGTTTTGGTTCAGTCAGTTAATTATGTTTTGGTTCCTCCAGGTCTGTCTTTGGTGTAACAGCATTACTTCCACTGATAACATCTCTAGTATCTTTACTTGTGAAAGAGCAGCCTGTTACAAGGGGTCTCTATTTAGGCAATAGCTTCTTTGAGAGTTCAAAAAGTAGCATTATACAGTTATGGGGAGCTGTTAAGCAGCCTAATGTTTTTCTTCCCACGCTAATTATATATTTCTACTTCAGGCAACACCACAGTCAGGTTCTGCTACGTTTTTCTTCATGTATGCTCAACTTCAAATCTCTTGTTCAGATTATTATTAAATGCAAGATGCATGTTTTTAACTGATGATTGTTGATTGTAGAACCAATAGACTTGGTTTCACTCCAGAATTCTTAGGCCGCCTTAATGTTGTTACTTCAGTTATGCGCTTTACAATGGTTGATTAAAGAAAGTTCCTTGAAGGAAAATATTCCTTGTGACAACTATTACTGGTTCAGCTCTTGGGATGACACAGGTATCTATCCCAAAATATCATCTATTTTACTGTGTTTTCCCTTTTGGCCGTTTCTGGCGGTTTAGATTGATTTAATGTGTAAACGACACATTGATAGGTTTTGTTAGATTTTGAGGGGCTTCCAATATTGTAACATTAATTTTACAATATGGACAATAAATAATTTTTCAGATGTGATGTCTATGAATCCGTGTGGATCAAATGGGAGTCTTTGCATTGTTTGGGCTAAATCAAACTTCGAACCAGTGTTGTAGCTATCTAGTGATTTACAAGTATCCTCACTGCAATGACCATAGTAAATCCCTTCTCGTATCGAAATACATGTTTATTAATGATTTTTTTCATACTCAAAACTCAAATTCAAGATCTTTAATTAAAAATGGAACAACTCTATCCGTTGCACCTCATCTAATAATGGTGAAGATTCACAAATTATTTTATCAACTTCTAAAATATCTTGTTTCTAACCTCGAAGTCGACTACCTATTTTTAAAAAAACAAAGATTTCAAAATGTCTTTATAAGTTTAAGTTGTATGTAAAATCTTTCAAGTTTAACAACTTTGTGTTACATTTAAAGTTTCATATGATATAAGATTGATTATTTTAATTTTGCTTGAATTTCAATTATTTAAAGAAAGTTGTTATGAAATAAAGACATATATAATGTTTAAAAATCAAATACAATATCTAAATAAGATAACCTCATAAAAAATTTAATTTCTTATATAGATACTATAGTATTTTATTTTTTTTTCGACACAAAAAAATATATATACTCCCTTCATTTACTTTTTAAGAAATATATACACCAAATTTCTTCATGTGAACGGAGGGAGTTTACAACAATCCAATGATGATGGCTCAGGCTAATTGCTTCTTAAAGATCAATTCTCCGTCGTTTGCGATTTTTTTCTAAAGATCAAAAAATTTATAATTATGAAACATTAAATCAAATTAAAATTTACAATCATAAAATAAAAAATTATAATTAAAATTAATGAAAAATATCATAAGATATTAATATGATAAAAACTGTGTGTTAGAAAATATTTATGAAGCCATTCTAATATTCCATTTTTCTTATTAAAACCAGAGAGGGGAATACGAACGACGAACAGAAAAAATTAGTTTTAAAATGGCTGCGTTGACATTCTCAATACTACCCTTCCGATCCTTGCTCTAATTCGCCGGAAAACGGCATTCCGTCGTCATCTTCACCTGACATCAAAATGTCAGTCACCGTTGCAATGCCGGAAGACCCAGTCCAACAAGAAAATGATGCTGAACCGTTGCTTCATTCTACAGACCGTAAGTTACACACATAATTAACGATATTGTTTGTATTACGCAGTATATGTGGTTAATTCTGCTAAGGTATCTTACAGTAGGTATAAATTGAAAAAGAAAAGTAAAATTATTGTATTTTATTAGCTCATTTTCTAGGAAAGGAAATAGAATTACGGTTACGAATTCCAATTTTCAAGTACATGGCTGTTCATTGTTATGATTGCGAGTTTGATGACTGGGAAATGAGATTGTATGTTGTGTACTGGTAGAAATGTCTTATTGGTTGAATGTTAAATTTGTAAAAAGGGGTTAAAGGCTAGTGGATTATGTTCATTTTCTTTCGGCCAAATCTCCGAGGGAGGAACTGAATACAAGAATTGACATTTCTCAAAGGAATAGGAAAATGCTAGCAAGAAGTAGGTTGAGAGTTCTTTTCCATGGAAGAGCTCAGAAAATAAGATAAAAAGGTTTTCTTGGTTATTTATGTGATTTTCTGAATGCCCTATCCTGCTTTGAGAGGTCTCTTTTATAGGCTGAAATAGTCGATCAGTCTTTTCAATGTGAAACGACTACTCGCTTAGCACTGAAAAGACTACTAAATGGCACATGCCTGGACTATGACATTGGGTTTGAGGCTGATTGGACGCATGTTGGCGTGAGACTCTACAATGGTTGTTGATCTATCCAAGGATCATTATGAGTGTGTTCCAACTGTAAAGTGATCCTTCCCTGTTAAGGATCCTGTTGGCTACCCGGATATGAAGCAGCCTTGGTTGTCTTGAGGCAGCACCAGGGATGATCCATCCAAATTTTCGTAAGCTGGAGTAAGCATCTCACCGGCCTGACTTAATCACGTGTCACGGGCCAGCCCATCCTTTTATCACACGTGTTTTTCCCCCATACATCTGTTTGTTAAAATACAGGTACCAAATCAATATGGTTTAAGACGTAATCCGTATTAGTCATGCTATAGGAATTGATGGAAAACTGATCACTGCCATTTTCAGACGCGGAAACTGCTAAGCATTAACTGCAGCTTAAGTAGTTGTAACATATTATTCATCCAAATTAAATTGTCTGCATAACAACTTTCTTCGTGTGTACTATACAAGGAACAAATTATTCATGCAAATTCAATTCTCTGCATCGAATTTTGTGCCTGTAATATAGAATCAAGTCCCTATTCGCTCGCTTGTTAAAAACTTCTAGAAGATTCTCTATGGTGCTTTAAACATATGAAACTAAGGAGACACATGAGAATCTTTACGAAACAGTGGAAAGCTCTGCCTTAAAGTGCAGAGTGATACGTGGATGAGAAATCATAACTCTTTCATAGTGCTCACAATTGGAGGGGAAATGGATATGGAGTATTACAACTAGTTCGGATCAAGGCTTAGTTAATTGATTGATTGGATATCCCACTTTCACAGCATGGGATTAAATTTTTATTTGTTATTTTTGATAACCAAGAAATCCTAAAGGACCAATGTGGCGCACACTCTGAAACTCGATGGATAATGGGTCCACCCAGACCCATCTCTCTACCCTTCTCCACTTAAATACCCCCTTTTTTTTATCTGCGGTATGGTTAGAGTATTTGTGTATGTTACGGATTGATACTTCAAAATGTTCAACTGTCTTAAACCCATGTGTGCTCTTAAAATGGAAGAGCAGCTACTCGTTGAAGTAAAACATATCAATCCGTGGTGTAATTTTAGCAGATTTTTCTTTGCTAACCTAGACATTCCGGTTAAAAGGTTCTTGATATTAGCTATACCACATTCCTATGTACTAGAATTTTCCACTATAATGCACACGTATCTGCACATTGGAACGTAAGAGCATAAGGGGTCATCCATGTTTACAGAAGTCAACATAGGTTTGATTATTTATAAAACTTCCTTATCTGATCAATTTGCAGGAAATGAAGATCTCCTGACAACCACTAGCAATGAAGATTCTAGTTCATCTGATAAAACTTGCTGTCACAAGGACAAAAATTCTATTAGCTCAGCCAGATGCTTCGGGGTGGAGCTAACCCCAGATAACATTGCTGTTGCTATGGTATATTTTGTTCAAGGGGTCTTGGGCCTTTCAGATCTTGCTGTTAGCTTTTATTTGAAAGATGACCTACACCTAGACCCTGCAGAGGTATGCAATCTTCTGGGGAACACTTCTTTACATTGTTGGTTGAACTTCCACAAAATTATATTTTATCTGAAAGTGCTCATTTCAGCTGGCAAACTAATTATATTGTCCTCAAGTTTAACGTGGATTTTGAATCTAAGATACATTAAGAGTCAGTTGCTTGAACTACAAGTTTATTTTAATGAAAATGTTATTTAATGAAAATCTCCACTTACAAATGGTTCATCTCATAAGTTTTCTTATTCTCCTCCTTTTCCATCATGTCTCTCATTATGTTACTAGCTTTGGTTAGGGTATGGTTTTTGTTGTTGTATTTTTCTACATCTATATTTTCAGTATTGGACTTCAGGAAATATTTCTATATTAGTTTCTCCTTTTATCCTATTACATCATCATTCATCACAAAAAGTTATATAAATGTAATGTACTTGTGCATTTATGTTTATGTATACGCTATCCTCCTCTTCTTTAGAAGTGTTATGTGTATGAGGTGATTTTACCAGTGGTATACTATACTTATGGTCATTCAACATTTTCTTATCTATTTCTTCTCAGATCAATAAATTCAGTTGATTGGACAATATGAATCAACCTGTGGGCATTGTATTCATCCTCCACATCTAGGGCCTGAAAACATGAAACTAGGCATATCATTTTCTGAAATTGTTTCATAGTTCTCTGTAAAGATTTTGAATGATATTTCCAATTTACCAATCTTTGCCTCAGCATTTCTTTCTTCAGTTGATAAAGGGCATTTTAAAATGGAAACTGTTTGACTCGGTGCCAATTTTATTTTCTGTCAGTGGCATCCTCTTCTTTGGAATTGAGTACAATGACTGACACATTATTTGTGGCTAACTAGGCAGCTGTGATATCTGGTTTCTCATCATTGCCATGGCTTATAAAGCCGTTATATGGATTCATCAGGTTGGATTCAGTTCACATTTCATCCTTATTCTTCTAACTAATTGTTTGTAGTAACTAATTTGCCATGACATTGGCTTTGCTTTTGTAGTGATTCCTTCCCACTCTTTGGATACCGGAGAAGGTCATATTTGGTACTATCTGGACTTCTTGGAGCACTCTCATGGTTTTTGATGGCCACCTTTGTAGACAGCAAGTATGGTGCTGCTTTCTGCATACTTATTGGTTCTCTTTCTGTTGCTTTCTCAGATGTTGTAAGTTCCTTTTGATTCTTGTTGGTTTCAGGTACCTGACTAGTGGTGTTAAGTTTGCTACCTAGTCACAATAATGCAAGCCTGTGTGCTACATCATTTATGTAAACTGTTTTTGACTTATCAAGAGGTTTTTTGGGATTTGGACCTTCACAATTGGTGGACACGCTAAGAGATTGTGAACTGAAAACCTGCTTATTAACAGCTCCGTCCCATAAAATTAATTCTCTTTGTCCTGCATCCATGCTAATGCATTATATTCACAAGTTCTTACTAGTTACACCTTAGCTTGACTTGGATTGGAGCAACTGTAAAAGCCTTTTGAAATTTTGAAGGAAGCCAGTCAGATAGATCCTTGGAAAAAGGGACCAGAGATAAGGTCTGAGACTCTGAGACATTATCTGAAGTTAAAGTCTAGTAAACAGCTGTGTCGATATAAAAAATTTAAATAGGATAACTTTTCAAAAACTCGGTTATTCAATTATATGACCACCTCATTAAAAGCTTTGACTATTAGAGAGGGCTGATTTTTATTTACTCATGGATGACTTCAATATGCCTTTCACATGTGATCCAGAACTTTTTTATCATGGGTCAAACATGTGAAATCTTTTTAATGAAGGGTGTCGTGAGACTTGAACTCGGAATCTCTGCCTGCTTCAGTAACATATTTTTGTTGTGTGACCATCTTCTTAAAGTTTAATTTGTCAGTGAGAATAATCTTTTGTTTGCTTACGTCTTTAGCATCATTGAAAATCCAAAAAAACTTATTAAACTATTACAACCAGAAATTATGTATGAGAATAGTCAAAATCACATCTTTTTTTTATGACAAAGTCAAAATCACATCTTTAACCAGCGATTTCTACAAAAAGAACATGTTTAACTCCTATGGTATATTAAACATGGTTTAAGGGGCAGTGTTTTTTCCAACTTGTACAAGGAACATACACAACTATCTAAATGACATGTATGAAGCAGCATGTGCTTCTCAGGTTGTATCTCTCTGTCTGTGGGCTGTTATCATTTACACTCAGAAGAAGTATGAATGAAAATGATCATATTAACATGCATCATCCCTTTATATTTGGGTTGTCGCTAATTTGAGTAGGCAAATGACCTGATTATGGTTTCCGAACCTATAATTTGCTTCGTTAAGGTTAACCTTGTTAGACAGAACTCACTATTTGTACCAAATGACTTCTCCAACCCTGACATGTTGTCTGTTCCACTTTTAATGTTGATTTTCTGTGTACTATTGATTAATCAATCAAAATTTGGATCTCCTAAAATTATGTGATTTTTGTCGCTGAAATGTTATTGGCATCTGTTATCAGGAACCCCTTCCTCTGAGAAACATGATAATTCTTCATTGTTGAATGATGGGTATTTACATCATAACCATAAGAATATAGAAGGTTATGATGCTGCCACTTCTTTTATTCTAGAAGAAAATGCATAACAGTGTAGATTAAGTGAGCTTTTATCATATTGAAATGGAATAACTCACCACCATGAATTCTCAATGCAAGATATGGAAGTATATAAAGTGGATAAACGATCTTCCTGAGTTATATATCAATAAGTGTGGGTTAGCTGGTGTCATAATCTATACCCAGCTCCTTCATCATCATTCATGTTTGTGTTGAGATCTTGGCAATATTACATACTTGGGGTTGGTGGGGAGGGGAGAGCAAAATTTTGCTGCTCAAATATATGATCTTTTGTTTTGCTTGTAGTGTTCTTGTTGTTTTCCAGCTGGTATCTTCTTTTGTTCTCCTATTTATCCAGGATATAAAATTGAGGTATGATGTAGGTTGTAGATTCCATGGTCGTTGAAAGGGCACGTGGTGAGTCCCAAAGCATGTCAGGATCTCTTCAGTCACTTTGCTGGGGTTCTTCAGCATGTGGTGGAATTTTCAGTTCTTACTTCAGTGGATCCCTTGTGGAAGTTTATGGCGTGAGGTATGATATATTTTTTCAGTCTGTTGAGATATTGTAGCCTATGTTGGTCTGAGCAATGTTAATGACGGTCAGTTAATTATGCATTGGTTCCTCCAGGTCCGTTTTTGGTGTAACAGCATTACTTCCACTGATAACATCTGCAGTATCTTTGCTTGTGAAAGAGGAGCCTGTACTTGGCCCAGCAAGGAATCTCTCTTTAAGAAATGGCTTCTTTGAGAGTTCAAAAAGTAGCATTATCCAGTTATGGGGAGCTGTTAAGCAGCCTAATGTTTTTCTTCCCACACTATTTATTTTCCTATTTCAGACAACACCACAGTCAGGTTCTGCTACGTTTTTCTTCATGTACGCTCAATTTCTAGTCTCTTGTTCAGATTATTATTAAATGCAAGATGCAAGTTTTTAAACTGAAGTTTGTTGATTGTAGAACCAATAAACTTGGTTTCACTCCAGAATTTTTAGGCCGCCTTAAGCTTGTTACTTCAGTTGCATCACTTATTGGTGTTGCACTTTACAATGGTTTCTTAAAGAAAGTTCCTTTAAGGAAAATATTCCTTGTGACAACTATTATTGGTTCAGCTCTTGGGATGACACAGGTAGATGTCCAGAATATCTTCTGTTTTATTGTGTCTTGCCTGTTGGTCCTTTCCGGCAATTTTGATTGATTTATGTGTAATTGACGTGTTGATAGGTTCTGCTGGTAACTGGATTAAACCGAAAGTTTGGCATTAGTGATGAGTGGTTTTCAATTGGGGATTCCTTGATTCTATCTGTTCTTGGTCAGGTAATTATCTGTCTTGGTTCTGTCTTTTACTGGCCTAGGTTTGGATTGCTTCTCAGATTGATTAACAATCTCTACTTCTGTGATTCCCTTAATATACATAGAAAGAACATTCTGAATTTTGAACTCACTTTATAGTCCAAATATTTGCAGTTAATCACATAAAAAAAAGAAGTGCATTGAAAGCACATATATCAATTGACAGGACATAACAGTCAACATGGAACTGGAAAGAAACTTATTACAATTAACTAAAGAGGGTATGTGGCTGATAAGTATAGTGTAAAGCAGTTTGGAATTTCGTATGTCTATAGATTACAAGAATTCTACTCAGCAACAGATTCCAGTTAAGAACTGTAGGGACTGGAATTCAGCAATAGATTCTAGTTTAAGAACTATAATACTGAGCTGAAAAACTAGTGAACTTATGAATAATAGTGTTGCACATAAGTCTCAGGTTCAATTCCCAGTGGGGACAAAAAACACTATATTATTCTTGAGTTACTTGGTACATGTTGCTGGTGGAGGTAGCAGGTATGGTGCGCGAAAGCTGGCCTGGACACCACGGTCATAAAAAATAGAGATAAGTTTCAAAACACACCTAAATTATACCTTTTATTGAGTTTCATGCTTAAATTATTAAATTATTGAGAGTGTGAATTTCATACCTAAACTATCACTTTTTAGTTTGAGAAACATACCTCTCTCTTTTATATCACTCTCATCATGGTATGTTTAATAACTCTCTTTTATTTTTGAAGAAATTTATCACATCACACTTCACATGAAAAAAAACATTTAACCTTGATAAAAATTAAATAAATTATTAGTATTATTTAAATTTAAAATTTAAAAATTATTATCCCAAAAATATTATTTCTTTTTATAAAATAAAATGTAAAATAATTTTCTTATCCCACTCCATCACTCCACCCCACCCCACCCCACCCTCAAATACTAATTTAGATATTATTTTTTTAAAAAAAAAAATTCTACCCACCCCATTTAACCCTCCACTTTCAATTTTTTTTTCTCATTTTGTGTTAGATATATACATATCAAAAATATTTTTTACTTGCCGCTGCAAGATATTTTTTAATTTTTTACTTATTTATGTCATATTTGGTACACTAAGAGGAACTTTGTTTTCTAAAAATATATGTACATACATATCTAAGACAAAATGAGAAAAATGGAAAAAAGAATAAAAATTAGGAGCGGAGGTTACACAGGATGGGGTAGAATTTCATTTTTTTAAAAAATAAAATAATATCATTTTTTTTTGGGGGGGGGGGGGGGTACACGGAGGAAGTGGTGGAAGATTTTATCCATGTGAAATGTCATGTGTCAAGTTTTTTTCAAATAAAAGAGAGTGTATTACACGCACCACTTAGGTGTGTTTCTCAAACTAAAAAGTGATAGTTTAGGTATGAAACTCACACTCTCAATAGTTTAGATATGAAACTAGAAAAAAGGAGATAGTTTCGGTGTGTTTTTGACGCTTACCTCTAAAAAAAAATAGTGTTGCACATAAAGATGCAGGGAAGTTGCCATCTCTTTAGTATCCAGGTGTATTGTGACAATATCAATTCTAGGTGAAAAATTACTTGTACCAGGTGTTTACATTTATACCAGTGAGTGCACATTTGTTTGAAATATATACAATTATTACTTAGCCATGATTCATTAATATATAGTTTCACTTCGTTAAATCACTTGACCATGGTAACTTGTATTAATTTTGGGTAAACACCTTGTGCGGATAAGTATTTATATTCTGGCCTTCCCTTTTTCTGTTTTTAGCTATTTTAGTTAACCTCTTATAGCTATTTTCTTTTTCATACTTTCATTATCTTTTATTTGGACACTTGCACTAATTAAGAATCTAGTCTAGATTCAAAGTGTTGCTAAAGTGGTTAATAGTCTTACCTTAATAAGAGACAGGCTACATAGGTAAGGGACTGTTAGTTAAATGTTGAAGGATACACCTATATAACATTGTTGGTACTTGAAGTATTACCTAAGATCACTACATGGTTGTCCTAAGAAATTTACCCTTTTTAATGTAATGCCAGCTTTCGGGAAGTAATTCTAGAGTTCTACGAAGGCAGAAAAAGACGGAATCTCTAAATTTGGTTGATGATTCAGATTGATCAGTAGGTTTGATACTTATGAGACTAGAGGATAATGGTATCGTTTGCCTGGATTGTCTAACTTTATACTTCTTTTCAGGCTTTCTTCATGCCTGTTCTTGTATTAGCTGCAAGAATATGTCCAATGGGAATGGAGGCTACTTTCTTTGCAACCCTTATGTCCATAGCCAATGGGGGAGGTACCCTTGGGGGCCTACTTGGTGCAGGTCTAACTCACATCCTTGGTGTCACCAAGGACAAATTTGATAACTTGGCTATCCTAATAACTATCTGCAATCTCAGCTCCCTACTGCCTTTACCACTACTTGGCCTTCTTCCTCGAGATGAACCCGATTCAGAGGAGAATACTGATATTGAGATGACGCCATATTGAATTCATTCTTTCTCTGCATATAACATGTTGACATGAAATTGCTAATGTGGCCTCAAACGTGGTTGATCGATTTAACTGCAGCTTTTTAGATACCAGTAGGAGAGATTTTTTACTCAGTAGGTGAGAACTCACTCATGTAATTCCTCACTACCTCAAGACATCACGACACAAAAATGTAGAGATTAGTAATATTTACTAGTACTAGTTTTTAAGCTTACATACATACAGTAGTCCTATATTCTTTTTCTTCAATTCTCTCATTGTTTGTAAATGGATCATTTGACGTCAGGTTGATAATATTTTTTCCCTGAACTCACCAATTTTACCATAAAAGTGGGGACATGTAAAATTTCCATTATTTTACTTTCTTTCGACCCTTAAATAAGAATTGTGGGGAGGGTAGAAGCATTCGATGAAACTGGTGAACTTCACTTATTTTTGGATAGAGGGCTCATGGTACCTGCTGCCCACCCTTTCTTATCTCCTTTAAGAACTATGTGTATGAATAGTGGGTTCATAGCTTTAATTGACAAAATCAAGGTTGTTGCCCTGCTGAGAAGATAACTACTATATGCTATTGTCACATAATATATGTTTTTTTGAACAATCGTCTCGAATATCTTGTAAACTCTTCAGGTATATATAAAGAGATTATGACTGGAATATTATTCTTACTTCAAGGAGATCCACAATCCTCTTTACATGGAGATCAAATGAATCACGAGGTTCAAATCATTCTACGTTCGAGAAATACATTACTAATTACCATCCTCAAATTACGAAGAAAACAAAGAGAATTATGCTCTCACAGTTTATTAGTTCTATTTCTTCGTATCTTCCATACATTAAAATTTGTTGACAACACCTTGAACAGTTTTTAATATTTGTTTCAGAAAATTGACACGAAGTAAATAATTGAGTTCAGAATCACTAGGAAATATATAAGAACTAACTGCTAAGTGCAGCTTGTGAAGAAACCTACCCCAAATGGTCCAATTTAAATGTGTATAAGTAGACACTTAAATTTATATAAAGTTTAATAAGTAAATTCGTATAAAGTTTAATAAGTTAACACATGAATCCTATGTAACGTAATACACATAAGTCACAAATTGTCATGTATAGGACGTGTGTCTATTTGTTCAACTTTATCCAAGTTTAACAATTCACTTATGCACATCTAAAATTAAAGGATATAAACATGAATTAAAATCAAATTAAATAGCATGTTTACGTATTATACCTAGCTCAAATAGTTGACGTGACTCTTGATCATTAATTAATGCACCAATTTTTGGAGATTTGGATTGTTTGTTGAGTGTTTGATTGACTATTTGCGTGTTTAGGTTGTTGTTTGTTTGTTGCAATCGACATATTGTGCATTGCATTGGAGTGCATTTTTCATACCCTTTTTCAGGATTACTTTTCCAACTAGTATAGTTATTAGCATTTAGTACTTTCCAATTACCATTCTGTCAAAGAAAATTATGTTAAATGCTTTAAAATATTTAGTTTGAGCAGAGGAAATTTTAATATTTTATAACAAAATAATCATCAAAACAAGTTTACTAACAGATGTACATAGAAATTTTGCAATATTCATGAGCAAATAATAAATTGAACTGAATTCAGATGGATCAAAATAAATATTAAATAAAAAAATATTTATTAAAATACTTTGATAAAAATTTTCATTGATCGACTTGAGTTAAATATAAGCTCAAATTTCGCCAGGCTGAAATGAATTTGACTAATATAAATTATTCTGATAAATAAACAAGTTAATAATCAATCTAAACAATGAACAAATTAAACAAATTACTATTAATTCATCAACTAATAGTCACCTCAATCATCTCACCCATATTAAAAGCAGTCGAATTATACGTTGTGGAAGCATACCAACTGCCTTTTATTTTAGTTGAAAAATCACATCAATGAGTGAGATTTCGACAAATTTAACGTCTCGTGGAAAATATCGATGATTTCAATTATTTCTGACGTCTTTTCAACTTATTCTCAAATAAATGTTTTTTTAAGAAATTTTAGTATGTTGTGTTTGTTTTTGGACAATTAATTAATTCAATTGCCAATTCATACTATACCTTGTTTAGTACGAAAAACTATCACATGCAATGTCTCAAATTGTTGGAAGTTTAAACAGTGTTCAGACACTCCAATCATTGAACCAACTCGGTGAACCACTTTGTGCGCAAAGACATAAATTTTTTAATAGCATGTAAATCACACATGAGATATCACCCGCACTAGATGAATTTTATGCGACAGGCTCGACTCAGAAGACATCAAGGGAGAATCGATCATGCATTATTTCTATAGATGACAATTATTCAAATCAAATGAATCATACCGAAGGACATTCTTTACTTAATAATGTCTTTTATTTTGATTTTTTTTTATTGCTATCGAGTAAATCATACATATTATTAATTATTTGTATTCGGATAAAAGGGGGTTATATTATGGTAACTTGGTTGGTAGTTAGTAGCTTGGAATTTAATCGAGCCAAAACATCTACTACTTTATTTGCTAGACGAAAGTTATGATGGACTGAACTTCTATATTTAATTGATGGATACGACATAACATGAAAAATTGATTTAAAAGTATTTAATTATTATAATAAAATATTATCATAGAGAAGGATTATCAAAGATTAGTAGATAGGGTTTTGTTTCTAATAATTATCATGGAAATACTATGTTTGTTTGGTTGCTGGAATTTTAGTTATCTATTTGAAAAGAATTTTTTACATCTACATGCTTGACTCTCCTTTTATTTGTGCTAAAATACTACTTACATCTGTTAAAATTAAGGTTAATTTCTTCCAACTCTATCACTTGATACATTTTTTTTTGCTCTTTGTTAAAAATGCAGTCATAAAAATATTTATCCTAAAGAGCATCGTAGAGAAATTCGATGGACTGTCCTTTCAAAATTATTTGTTACAAATCAGATGGATAATATAATAATTAAATTGAATAATTTAGTCAACTAGGATTTCAGCTGCCTACTGAGAATATAGTCAAAATTCTTTATTCATACTATTTTATATATATATATATATATATATATATATATATATATATATATATATATGTAATATAATATAATATAAAGAAGAATAGATAGGAAGTACTAACACTGAATTTAGAGCTAAATCCTATACATTTATAGTGGATGAATTATTTACGTATATAAGTATAATAATAATAAACCCCTATTATGTTCTCCGAAAAAAACAATCCCATACCAATTAAGTAAAGGCAATTCAAAATTTGAAGACATGTATAATGTCAAATTAAATATTAGGATTGTCTCTATCTTAATATATCTCGTATGTGATAATTATTTTTGAGATAATTTAATATTTTATGTTCCTTCTGTCCGATATTGTTTGTCATGATTTCTATTTTTAGAGTTAAACTATAAAAACTTTGACTAACATTTTAAGATATATATTTTTTCATCATATTAATATGCAAAATTTATAACTTATAGTACTTTTTATATAGTTTTAGAATATCTAATTTTTTTGTTTAAAATATCGAATTAATGTGATTTAATTTACCTTTAAAAATTAGCCATATTGACTTTTATAAGCGTAACATGACAAACAATTTTGGACGGAATGATTATCATTTTGAAACCAAGTATATTATATATATTTGGACAAAAACTTTTTTATCATTTTGGCCCAACATATGTACCTGCAATAAGTTGAACTATCGTTTAAAATTTAGGTGCCGAATAATAGAGTTATAATAATGATTTAAATTTGAGATATGTGTCAAAAATATATCTAAATTATTTAATTTTTTTTTAATTTTATACCTAAATATTGAAAGTTTGAGTTTCATATCTAAAATATCACTTTTTAGTTGATAAACACACAACTCTCTCTTATAACACTCTCATTATGGTATGTGTGATACACTCTCTCTTTTATTTTAAAGAATTTTCACATTACACTCCACATAGATAAAATATTTAATCTTAACAAAAAAAAATAATTATTATTATTAGTTAAAATTAAAAATTAAAAAATTATAATAAAAAAATATTTTCTTTATAAAATAAAATGTAAAATATTTTTTACCCCGCGCCATCACTTCCTCTAACCCCTCCCCCCCCCCCCCAAACGCCAAACCCCACCATTTTTTTAAAATAATTTAATTTTTATGTGGATAGTAAAATTTAAATTTTTAATTTTTAATTAATATTAATATTTTATTATTTATTTTTTATCTCGGTAAAATATTTTATCTATGTGGAATGTCATATGTTAATGTTTTCTTAAATAAAAGATTACACACACCACTGAAGTGTGTTTCTCAAACTAAAAAGTTATAGTTTAGATATAAAACTCACACTCTCAATAGTTTAAATATGCAACTCAAAAAAAAAAATTAGATATGTTTTTAATGCTTATCTCTTCAAATCTGAAATATTTGAGTTCTAGATCTGTCTTGACACCTAATTCAAAAACTCATTTCTTTTTCAATACTCAACTTTCTTATGGAGTAGTTAATAATTCTATTGACTAGAATTTATATATATATATATATATATATATATATAGTGATATTCATAGTCAAAGATTAACAAACTATTTCATCATTTTTCAAGTTATGGGATATAGTTTGACTGACGATCTAATTAAAGTAATTTTTTAAAAAACAAATAGTAAATTATGATATCAAACACTTGGTGAAATATCAATTACTATTAAAATGAAAAAGACAAAATATATATATATATATATATATATATATATATATATATATATATATATATCGGAATGACAAGAAAATAATATCAGTTAAAATAAGAAAAGAGCAATAAAAATATGACACGTAGGAGATAGCAACACTAGTTTGAGGGGCTAGATTTGGCGATTGGAGGAAACTTTTAATTTAGGCAACTACAAAAAATTCATGTTTGGTCGACCATATGCTAGACAACAATTCACATCTTGTTTAGACTGGACGATAACTACAACTATATTATATATATGTGGACACAGTTATAATTACTAACAAAAAGGAATTTGTAACACTCATCCATTGCAATATATGACCATTCTTTCGTTAGAAAAAACAATTATTGCCAAAAAAAAAAAAAGGGCTCAATCTTTTATTTGTATATTTTTTAATTTGACTTCAAAATCTAAAATTGTAATAATTATAGAATATCTATAATTAAGTCATATTGTGAAAGTTCGAGAAAAGTTAGTTAGGACGAGAATGAGGATGAGGAATGTGATAGGTGTTATCTCCGGGAATTAATTGATCAACTGCATAATTATAAGTCATAATTCATCTTGTAAGGGAGATTGTTGAAGCAATAGATCTAGGAAGAGAGAATTACAAAAAAATTATTATGTATGAGGTACAACTAACACTAATTGTATGAAATATTTATTTATTGTTTTTTTATTTGAAATGATGGACCTACACTTTATTTTTCTTTTTGTCTCCTATTTTTCTTTCTTGTTTTGCTCTTTCATCTTTTTTCTCATTTTCAGTTCTCTTATTCTTTAATTAATTTTGAAATCAATTTATTTATGGAACCCTTTAATTAACCTCTCATTTTGTACATATGAAAATAATTTTTTATTTATTTGTTTATAATCGATACTTCTTTTTAAAAAATAATCTATTTTATCATTAAAAAAGCATGAGCATAAAAAAGCTCGAATTAATTCTTTAAATAGTCAGTTATGTCATAAAAATTGAAAACTAAAACAATTTATATTTCTTTTCTCTCAATTCTTATTTATTGTTCTATAAAAAAAATTCACCTTCATATTTCATATAATTTATACTTCTACTTTTAGAATTTATTTAAAAATTATTTCTTATTTTATTTTAAAAAATTAATGTTTAATCATGAAAGTTTGAAAGACAATTTTTCAAAATTGAAGGTATATTTCAAATTTGAAAAAAGTATATTAGTATAATCTTTTTTTTAAACTCATTTTTCACTTTTGATATTATTTAAAATATGAATGTTATTTCTATTTTTTTTATAAAAATAAAAAATAATTTTATTTTCTTGGTCACAACATGGAGAAGCCCACATGTTTGGCCATTTCTTATGTGTATATACTTCATGTGATTTTTGATTGTACACATGGCCTATACATAACGACAATTGCTTAAATTCTTCAACTTTCACGTGGAGGATTAGCAATTAAGAGACACTTGTTCAATCACATTTAATTTACTTAATCAGATAAAGGGTGCATTTATGGGTGAATAAATTGCCTCTTCATTTGTCGGATATCCATCATATAAACTAATCTCAACTATTAATTATTTTAGGAATCAGTCTAACATCCTTCAAACCAAAGAACCACATATTTCGTACATATTGATCTCTTTATGAATATATATATATATATATGTACATTATAAATTTATTTTTATTAATTTACAAGCAGTAAACATATTGTAAGCCTTAGCTATATTAATTAGCATGTACAAGTTGCTAGATTTACATGACTAAGTAAAGTTTGTAAGATTTAATCAGCATAATGATTTGTGTCTATTAAAATAAAAGAAAAGAATATTATGTTATTTACCGTTTAACTTCAGAATTCCTTTATTCAGAAGATACACACATTATTAATACGTCAAAGACATAACTTTTGTCAAGAGTGTCCAACTTTAAATATATGTATCCTTTAAATGTAAAATTTGACATATAAACATAATGTAATTTTCTGATGAAAAATATTCAACCAGACACCCTCGGAATGGCTATAGCTACGCCCTGGCTTTAATCACCTACAAGAACTAACCTTCCATTCATAGTAACCCTTTTTAGATAATTAGGTTTGAGAATCTGATCATAACCATGTCTTTTTAGAAGATCATTCTTCCCTATCTATCTTAAAGAATATTCTCTTCAATTTTTTCCCTAAAAATCTAAATTAAATGACATTTTGATATATTTTAAATATTAGACAAAATAATTTAAAATATTTTTTATTTTTTTAATTACGTACCAATTAAAACATGTCATTCAATTTGAAATCAAAATCTATTTTTTAACATATAATAAATTAATATCTTCGTTATTGGTATAATAAAAAAGAAGAGAGGGAGTAGAAATTCATGATTAAGTTATTTTCATTTAAAAAAAAGTATCGTACCAAACAAAAATAATAAACTTCTTTACTAAAGAAGAAGTCATTTTCTTTACAACTTACTCAACTTTTAACTTTATCTTAATTGCTTTAACCGATAGTTAGATATTATAGTTAACTTTCAATACCAAAAAATTCATTAAACACTTTTTGGGTATTATTATTATTATAAATCTTTAATATTTATATGTATATATTATGTTCAAAATTATATATCAAAACACACAACCCAAACACGAAAACTTGTGTTTCATAAAAAAGACTCGTTTGTTACACGCCAAGTCCCACTAAAACATCTTATTGTTTCTCCAACTGTACTTTTCAATATAGAGATTGATTAGAATATTTATTTCATAATGTAGCTAGACATCATTATTGATCCCTAGAAATCAAATCTTTGAATGGCTATATAGAAGTGCTAATATATAAATAAAATATATTATCAATTAATAATATTATTTTTCATATATCATGAAATCTCGTTATAATATATATATATATATCATTCGTGAAATTTTCAGACAAATGTTGTCACTTGTCACTATAGAAATGTTTAATTGTAATATTTTTTTAATTGTATCTCATCTTTTGCAAAGTCTACATAAATCCAAACAATTAAGAATATTTGATAAAAAATTTTCATGTGATTTTAGGTCGATATTATTCTCTGTTAATATCTTTTCTCATCGTAATTTCGTATATAAGTAGTGTATTTGGTGCTCAACACACGACATGACCATGTCATTACAAGCAAATTAATTCCTTCTCCAATTTTATCCCAAATGCTTGCCTCTAATTGAAACTTGATAATCATTTTTAATTCTATCTAATCTTATATGATCGTATACATTAACATTTACGTTTCTACTATACTCATTTGGTAAATGTGTTTGAATTTTATTGACCATTCACACATGATATATATATATATATAAACATTATTAATCACATTACACTTTTCCATTTCAACGTAACCTTCCAATTTTAAAATCACAAAAGCGCAATTTAAAAAAAAAAAAAAGAGGATAAAATTATAATAACTTTGTCAACCGAAAGTAAAATATAAGAAAATGACAATGCAATATTTGCTGTTTATTTATTATTATGCAAAGAAATTAAAGGCACCACTACTCAATGACCCTACAATGACCAAATTGTCTCATTTCTCACTGCCCCATATGTCCCATGTAACATGGAGGAAATTATGGCACCTTTAATTCCCCTCACTATATAACTTCTCTTAAACCCCCCTTCTCCATTCACACACACACACACAAAAAAAAGTACCAATAAATCTCATAAAAAACAAAGCCAAAAAAGGTACTTTAATTAAAAAAAATCAAGAAAATTGAGTGATGGAAATAGTATTGGCAAAGTGTGATTGTTGTGGATTAAAAGAAGAGTGTACAATAGAGTACATAAGTGAAGTGAAAGAGAATTTTGAAGGTAAATGGCTATGTGGATTATGTTCAGAAGCTGTTAGAGATGAATTTAATAGAGGAAACAAGAAGCAATATTTTATTGAAATGGAAGAAGCTTTAAAAGCTCACATGTCATTTTGTAGAAAATATAAGTCTAATAATCCTGCTGTTCATGTAGCTGATGGTATGAGGCAAATGTTAAGAAGAAGGTCAGGTGATTTGTCAACTAATTCTTCTTCTAAGAAGTATACAAGTAGATCAATCACTACATAATAATAAGTAGGAGATGTATCTTCTTTTATCAAACGTATCGAATTCGAGCATTAATAATATATAAAATTATTAGTATATACGTACATTTTTCTTTTTAATAGATTTGTATATGTGATATGAATTCGAATTAGTCAAATTAGCTTAACCAGTTTCACATATGGTCTAATTAGTTAGAAGGTTGAAAAATAAGACCTCACGATCCCTTTTGATGGCTAAATCTTAATGTACCAATCTTTGTGTTGTACATATATATAGAATGTTAGTAATATTTTTTAGTGGAGAGTACTATTGTGTTAATAATTTTGTTTAATTTCTCTTTGTTCATGGGAGTTTATGTTGTTTATTTTTGAGTGAATAGGTTAAAGAGTTCCTAAATTTAATAGTATTATTTTTTGTTGTTTTTTTTTTCTTTTGGATTATAACTCATTGCAGATTAAAAATCTTTTATTGAATATACAGAAATAACTTGTTAGGAGATACGTGTAGATAAAAAAAGAAGTCTTAAAAATTAGTCCATTTAACAAAATTAATTCTGGGAGTTGTAAGAATACTATACCTAATATATAATTTAGATACGAAATTCGCTAAATAATAATAGTTTTAAAAAGATTTGAATAGCCTAATATTCACTCAATTTTTTATCCAAGTCGATTTTTAAGGTACTTTTACGGGGTAATATTTACGTAGCATGTTATATTTCTCCAGAGACAATTTTAATATAAGTTCATGATAGTTTGGAGAATTCTTCAACTTGCAAAATAATGATAAATTTGATTTATTTTTTTTAGCCAATTCAGTCTTTGTCTTTTTCCTTTTAAGTCACTGAACTATCATAGTATATTTTTAACAAAAAGGTATTTTTCTACTTTTTCCACATGATAATGAAGTTTTTAATATTTAAATCTAAGTGCACACGTCAAAAATAGAAAAAAAAGTAAAGTTACTTTAGAATGACTCACTACAACACTTTCTGCTGTAGATAGGATTAGTTCACCCACTTCAATTAGTAATCAAGAAAATGATCTAAGAGACTCAACGAATTAATTACTCGCGACTGCGATTATGATTTCAGCATATAATTAATAGTATGACTTACATAATTTAGTTGATTTAATGATATGATATTTCTTGTATCAACATCGAGTTCAATTAGTCAAATAATAAAATACAATTCAATTATAAATAAGTTGAGATATATAAGTTAAACAAAATTAATATCCATAAAATTTTAAATTTAATATAAAAATCATAAATTTACGTGCATCACATGTAGGATCGTATATCTACTCATACATTAGGTTAAGGTGGCTCACATTGATGATTTAGTTCTTCTTTTTGATATAGATTGTCTAACACTAATATTTTGTGATTCCTTAGCTACGAAGCAAATAAGTGAGTTGTAAAAGTGATGTTTTAATCAAATTGACAATGAAATATAATAGGGACTTATATTTATTATCGTTATATAGCGATATAATATGTAATTCTGAAAATAACAATTTTATTTTGAATATATATATATGAAAGAGACTAAAGGGTTGAAGGTTATTGAAGGATTATAACATCTCTTATATTGGATATGATAATATAAAAAAATGGTATAATATTCATATTATAATTAGCTAATATCAAAATTAATAATAGAGTAAGATATGATTATATTTTCTTGCTACTGTGATAAATGTCAAATTATGTACGTTGCAATAAAAATAACTTTTAATGGTAATAAATATATGTATTAATAAAAAGTGATAAAACTTTTAACGAAAATATTCACAAAAAATATTAAATGCTGCTAAAAATATTAAATTATTTTTCTTAATTAATTATCGATTAAAAGACATTATTGATGTATTAATATTTAATGTATATGCAAGTTTTGCCTATTCCTATCACTAATGATAATAAGAGCTAATATTGTTTTTGCTCTCTTTTGAGTTAGGAAATTACACTTAATTACTTTGAAAACTAATGGTCTTACAGTCTTAGAACTAATAATCGACTTACTTTATGAGTTAATTTTTAAGGTCAAAAATTAATATTTGTTAATTTGAAATTTTATACACCAAATAAACAAAATCAAAGTTAATTCAATATTCACTCATGTATCTCACATATTGCAATATCATATTATAAAAAATTATATTCATTGATTTTAAAAATAGAAAATTTTAAACTGTTGACCCTCATTCATTTCAGGAGTAAACATTCAAAGTTAAAAAATAAAAATTCTTCAATTTAAAGTTCAAAATCACCTATCTTAAAGATAGATGATTCTCGTAGATGAAAAGGAGGTCATCAATTTGAATGACTCACTAATTTAAGAACAATAAAAATTAAATTAGTTATTGATTCGACTGCTATTCACAATTCATTTATATCGCTTCTAAAGAAAATGATTAAAATAGTCCTTTTATGTTTGATAGCAGGTTCAAAGTAGTCCTTTAGTTATGCACTTAACAATTTTGGTTATTTAAGTTTATCAAAAATTGTTACTTTTAATTATCATCAAATATTATTAAATCTCGCCCGTTAAAATCACAAAAGAAAAAAAAAGAAAGGAAATTAGCGGGAACTTGCGTTTAGGGGCATAATATTTGCACTTTAATGATATATTCACTTTATTTCTATAGTCTTTGTGTAATTTTCTGGCCATGTAAAATAAGTTTTAGTGTTTAATGTAATATTTGATGTTGCATATTTTAAGATTTGATATTTATGTTTTCTTTGATATAGTTCACATTAAATTCAATGTATAGAGTTTATTGTTTAGCAAAATATTAAAGAATAATTAATAATTTATTTGATCAAACATAAATTATTCTAATATTAGTTATTACAAGATTATTATCTCACCCTTAAATATGTCGTAAAAATGACTGGAATAACAAAACCCAAAATAAGTTATTTTACAAATTTATTCTAAATAAATATAAAATAAATTTATCTTAAAACAAACCTTAACCTTGATCTCTTGTACCAGACGAATCCTAAAAGTATTAACACTAATTCCACTAAATAAGATTTGAGGAAGACCTGGATGGAAATAGAAAAATTATTTTTGATTGATATGGAAATAGAAAAATTATTTTTGATTGATATCCTGTTCAATAACGTTTGATTTTTATTTTTTTTCAAAATAAAAAATTCAACAAACACAAAGGATATTCGTCATTTTGAACGTTTGATTTTTATTTTTTTTCAAAATAAAAAATTCAACAAACACAAAGGATATTCGTCATTTTTTCGCCGCTTCTGTATACGGAGGGTCGAGAAGTCGGAGTCGGAGCCGTAGCCGCAGCCGGAGTCGGAGTCGGGGCAGAAGGGAAAACAAACTGAATAATGGCGGAAGCCCTCTTCGAGCTGGAAGAAACTCTCATCTCCAGAAAGGTACCATTTTTAAGCACTAACATTCTAATGGACTTTCTTCTTTGACCTAAATTTCCACTGCTACTGTGCATTAACCTTCAGGAAAATAATCCTTTTCTCCCCTTTCTATTTGATTAGGTAATTCGTACCCTTTGTTCTTTTTTCCCCTCTTTGTTTTTCAGAAATTAAATCAAGGTGCATTAGGTTTTCTAACTAATTTGTGCAGTGATATTTATTTGTTTCTTTAATGATAAATATTTGTAGGAAGCTCTGACGAGTGAAGAAGCTAAACTACTTAATTCATGGAAGCAAAATGCTGTAAGAGATTTTGGCATTGGTGCTACCGGTGCTTCCATTGCCACTTGGTTAGGTACATTTCCCGTATATTACATTGTCAAGTAAACTATGATTGGAGTGTCTTTTGTTAGTTTTACTAGTAGTACTTTTAACATAAGCTTCTTCGTAGTTGAGTTTTCCTTGATAAGAGAAGAAAAAAAAAGTAGAAGCAATGAAGACGATGGTGTTTGACTGGATATACTGTTGAGTAAATTTAGTTTGATAGTGAAAATATCACATCAAAGGTTAAAGTTGAACAGATAAATGGATTTGAGTTCTTGAAAGAGGTAAAAGTTATATAGAATGATACTATTAGTGGAGTGTTGTCAAACATTTTGGACTGTCCTAATAGAATGAGTCTAGTATAGAATGGGGCAAAGGGAGTACAGTAAAAAAAGGGGGGAGGGGGGGTGTTTCATTGATGCTTTTATGTGAAATTAACTTTGAAGGAAAAGGTCCCTCTTTTGGATGGTGAAAGGCGATAAAAGACGGCAAGGGCCTGCCTCTCCACAAGACGAGCCTTTTTGAGGTGCGGCCAAAAAATTAAAATACTTAATTGCATATTCAAATAATCAAAATCTCAATAGCAATAACATATAAACAAATATTTCAATTCAAAAACTGAAAATAGATTGTACATACTTAGAACTTGAACGAGAAAAAAATAGAACAAAAATCAAAGCAGTGAAAAAAAAAGAAGGTAGAAGTGACCTTGAAGTTTGAAGAAGAGGAAAAATGAAAAAGAAATAAAGGAAGAAGAAATTGGAAGAAGAAAGAACAACGTATTGGTTGGACTTTGGAGTCGGCGGAAAATTCTAGCTGGCAGCCCGAGGAGTCTAGTCGAAAACCTTAAAATTACCTTTAACTTTTAAAACTCTATATCGGTCGCCTTTTTTTAAAGAAAATACAAAAGGCAACGCCTTTGTCGCCTCTTGCCTTTGTCGCCATGGCATCGCCTTTTGAAGATCACCTCGCCACAAAGCTAAAAGGCAATGAAGGGTCGCCTCCCCTCCCCTTCCCTCCCCTCCCCTCTCGCCATTGGCGACGAGACGATCGCCTTTCATAACACTGTGTCACACTTCTTGAAAACTTTTGAGTACATATGAGTAGAAAGAGGAATTAATGCATCGGATTCGAGAGTATCGAACTTCTCTTGTTTGAAAGGATGAAAACCATTGAAACGGTATTAGCAATAATTGGAAGATTTGGCAGAAATATGTAAAATACCACCCTAAAAAGATTGTTCCAGAATAAAGGGAAATGGTTACCAGTTAACTTTCTCAAAAAGAAAAAAAGGGAAATGGTTAGAAGAGGTTCTCCAGCAGCTAGAAATAGGGTTATTAGATAAGTCAGAAAATCGTCCTTAATCACTCATTTGTCTAGGTGTTGCTCTGTATTATATCCACTCTGCTTGCAGAAATTATTTCTTTTCTCCTCTTCTATTATTTGCTTTTATATTTTTGACACCTAACATATTTCTCTCAATTTGTTTCTTTGAAGTAACCAGAAGGCTGAATAACCTAGTTCGTATGAACCTGACAGCAGGTAAGCTCAATTTGCAATTTCATTATAATTTTTTCAGAAATTGACTGGGCTTTTTTTCCATGTTTATCTTTTCTGCCTATATGCCAGTCACCCTTGATACTATCTGGTTTCATTCCATGTATTTGTGGACTTGGTAGATAGTGACGTGTTTTAAGATGCCTATTAGTGACTCATGTTCAAGTGCTCAATAAGTTTGCTTTTACATATTTGTTGTTTAAAGTGAATATTTAAAAACTTGAGTATCTGTTTAATTCCTTAAGTGGTTACTAACTCTCAAGTAGATGAAATTACCTAGTAAAGTCACATATCTTTTTATTGTTCAATAAAATCACTCAGCCTACCATTATCTCTTGCAAAATAACAGTGACAGAAAAGCCAATTCAGTCAACCCTCTGTTTGCTTCTGACCTTTATTCCATTTTCTGTTCATTTTCAACTATCTATGTGCTCATTCTCTCCATGCAGAGGAAAAGCTAAAAGATTAGTAATTTAAAGTAGTTTTTATGTAAATTTTGTATATTTAATGTTTCTTAAAGAATTCATGTCCAAATTTACAGTGATAATTTGATGGTGCCCCTCATCAGGAAATTCTTTCATTTGGCATGGAGGAAGTATAGGATATCAAGTTTCTGGAATTGGGTTTATTCTGGCAACATAATTTAACTACTTAGTTATATCAGATACTGTAGATCAGTGGCTGTTTTATTTGGTTCTGTCAATTTTTATTTTGTTACGATGAAGCTTATTTTTTCTTTCTTTGTAGTCATTGTGATTTGTGGTTAGTTTGAACTAAGATTATGAATTGAACTAGTTGAAAGCTTGAGTCTATGATATCATATCTAGACCATTGTTATTTTGTAAGAATAATAGTTAACTTGAATAATTTTTATTGGGACGATAAAGTTAAGTTACTTTACTAGGTAATTTTACCAACTTGAGTGACCATTAAGAAAATGACCCCTTAACATCAAGTGCCTAAATTAAGGATAGCATATAAAGTTCTCTATTGCCTCAGTGCCCTCGTGGGATCTTGCATTTTAGATATGGACATTGATAAAATTATGCTGTAAATTGTATGATTATGACAAATTTAAGTTGCTAGTTCAAGAGAGATTTATAAGTCTCCTAAATAACAATGACCCTGAATATGTAGGGAGCACTTCCACCTCAATGGACCTTTATGTGGCGTGACTCCGGATTAGCCGCAGCCCCAAAACAGGTACTTGAGACCAGGTGGGCCTATTACATGTTCACTTTCGTGCTATTCAGAGTCATTGCTATTTAGGGGACTTGCTATCTCTCTTAAACTGCATATTACCATTCTTGTAATGATACACACTGTTCAAAATGCTTATCTGGAGCTCAAAGCTACACAAGATCAAACTTTATACCAAAACAGAGAACATTTTGCTTTTCTTTTGGTAATTATACTACTTTAATCTTTTGAACTTTCCCCCATCCAGGTGTTGGTTTCTATTATGGCATTAGGAGATTTGCTAAGTGTGTGGATTCAGAAATTGAACATATTCTCTCTCAGCATGGGACTCGTTTGCAAACGGGGTTGGCAGAAATGTAGGTTATTGACCAATGACAAACATTTCGATTTGTGCAAAATATATAAGTTGAGTTGCAACTCCTAGGGGTCGGTTGGTTACCGGGATTAGGTCATGATCCCAGTATAAAATTTGGGATTAAATCCAATGTTTGACTGTTGGTATTAAGCTAATACAGGTATAAATCTTATACCAAATCTGGTATTGTCAATCTTATTTTGAATTTGTGATTATAATCCTTAATGCTATACAAGCCCATGTATACATGACTTAGTATGATGAAGCTTGGCACTTGTATTCTTGTGCTTCATCTTAAAACAATTGCTCTACTTCTATAGTGCAAGTCCATCTATAAAATCTCCTTTTACGTATAAAAATAATAATTGCTCTGCGTCTATATTCTAGTAGGTTTGGCAACTTCTCCAAACTAAAAATATACCATTTACTATTTAATGTTCAACCCTTTCCTGATTGTTCCCAACAAAGTATGAAATCTAATTAGGGTCAGGTTGTTTTAAGAATTTGCAATAGAATTAGTGATTTTCTTTTGGATATAGGTTATATTCAACGTCTAATAATTTCTGAATTAGTTTTATGACTTCATCAAAGCAGTAGTCTTTTAGGCTCTGTGTATAGTGTATACATACTAAGTTTGTCCCTCGGGAAAAAACCATTTGTTTCCAATTTTTCTGCAATGCATCAGAATGAGAATCTCTCCTCTTGATTTTTGTTCAACTTGTGTGAACTCAAGTGTAGACAATTGTTAACTTGAAACGTGTTTGTTATCACCGAGGGAAGCGTCATGATGAGAATTAAAGAAGTAAATAGAGGAAGGAGATTATGAGGGTTGTTATATAACTGCTAAATTGAAGATAATTGCAAGACATAACAAGAATCTAGGCTTTGAGATTATTTGATCTTTGGTGGATTAATCCAAGTAAAAGACTTGCATAGCACTGTATTAACTTGAATCATACTCACCCCATAAAATATTGCTTTCATGTTAATTATACTTAAACATTGAATGTTCTGTGAGTTCGATATGGTCAAATCTTCATATTTGTCGCTCATTGTTAGTAGAGTGAGATATCACCTGAAAATATGGGAACTGACTGCTAGGCTAAGCGTACTGAGAGCCACCTCAACATGTTTCAATTGCTTGGCAGATGTGTAACTGGGTTATTTGGACCAACGGTATGGGTATAGTGCTAATATTTGGCAAGGACATTATAGATCATACTGCTGCCTATTTGAAACAGAACTAGTCTTTCCATCTTTCTAGTTGCCTCAGTACTTTGTAACTGGAGTTAAGAATTTAATCTTGATATGCCACTTCTTCATCTCCCAGCACTATTTATTTAGACTTATTTGCAATATCAACTAGTGTGACTGGTTAGTAAATTTCGTAGGCTATATTATTGTTCTTCGATTTTGGTTTGTTCTTATTACTCTGAAATGGCTTCCGCCTAAGATAAGACATGTGATCAACCTTATATAGCAAGCGATTATTCATCCTTTGCATGTGCATTAGGATACCAGATGACACTGACAGTGCATTGGATTTTAAAAGATTAGTTGAGAGCTAACCAGAATGTCAAGTAATAACGAAAAGATTCTGTTGAGTAGTCCCACATTGAAGGATGGGATGCATTTTATTTCCTTATATTGTCTTGGACAATCCTCACCCTTTGAGTTCGCTTCTGGCGCTGAGTTAGGCTCATGGTCCATTTCTTTAACTTGGTATCAGAGTCAGACACCCCCAATTCTTGTTTCACCCGATATTGTATCCCCATATTATCTTGTCCATGCTCCAGTTGGTATACTTAAGCATGTGATGGCTTAATCATGTCCACATAGACATTTACATCGACTAGTCTGTAGGTGTATGGTAAATGGAAGTGGTAAAAGAGACTATTAAAATCACACAGAAGAAACTTGCAACCACCTCTAAGCATCCATACAGATTTAGCTAGAGATAGAATATAATAGAAGCAAGGAATTTACACAGTACTAAAGTAGTTCAAATTAAGGTTTTGTCATTGTCACTTAAATTTGTTTGGTGTTTGCTGGACTTGTATGCAAGTGTAAGGAAGTGCAGCATTTGAAAATCACTAAGCGTGCTCCTAATTTACTGGAAGGTCTGATTTGAGCTGTGTGGTTACAGAGACAGCGCATGCTGAAAAGATTCTTCACATTTTCGTGGTTCAGGAAAAAAAATTACTTTGAGAAGTACAAACGTTTTATTTACCTGATACTAAAGCTTCTTTTGCTCAAGTGTTTTGTCGTAATTTCTTCTGTTTTCTTCCCCAGCATTAACTATGTACTGAATGTATATTTTGACATGATAGAATGTTGAAGAAGTATCAGCATGATCCGCACGTATTGCAACGTGTCTCCAAACATTTTTTCTGTGAGAATGTTTATAACGACGACTCGACAGACCAGCCAAAACCAAGGTGGCGCTTTCGGAACTCCTTTGAGGAAGATGTTGCTTCTGCTCATATGACATATGATGATGCCTTTTACAATAAGAAAATCAATTCGGTGAAAACTGATCTGAGGAAGACCAATCTACAGCGCAGGAAAATTAATGTGAGTATGCAACTACTGCCTTCAAGGTTATTTAAAATATGAATCAGAGAGTAGTACTGGAGAGTATCAGACATACTTATTGGAGTATGGACAAGGTAACAAATTTTGTACACATGGCTAAAAATACTAAAAAGTAACAACCTTTTGTGAAAATTTCCTGTAATAATGAAAGCTGCATACCCCAAGCAGAATGTAGTGTTCATTGGGGCTTTCTTCTGTCTAAATGAGGAAGGAGGAGAAGCTTAACAAGTACCAGCTTGGAGATAAATTCCTTCCGCTGAGTCATTGCTTTGGATGTGTTCGGTAGGAGGTAAAATATAAAATACGTAGGTTTATTTCTTATTTTCTTGTGTTCTTATGTGAATAAACAAAGTATTATCCTTAAAGCATTTGTACATGATCTAGACAAATACCATGGGAGGTGGGGGTGTGGAGGTAGGGGCGCGGCGTGGCGTGGTCAGGGTGAAATGAGGTGTGTTGGAACTTGGAGGGTGAGAAAGAAACGATCAATGAAGAATGCCACTTGTAGAACTTGTTCCCGTACTTCTGCTATGGAAGTCATTTTTCTCATTTTCAAGGAACTTGTTTTCCAAAAATTTTGATCAATGAAAATGTTTTCTTCCATATCCAACACAACCTTTCCCATAGCTGACTATGCAACTTTGTAAGTTATTTGTTTACTGGAGTCTTTGTTCATAAATGTAGATGAGTGCAGCAGCTGATGTTCTGGAGGCAATTGAAGACCCATTTGACTGCATATTTGGCTCTTCAGCAAGTGTCCAAGATATTCATCATCCTGATGCATTTAGCTCACTGCCTAGAAGGCATAACTATAACCAGAAAAGGTCCCAGCGTAGGCATAGGATGCGTCACAAGGAGAACATGGATGTTTGAGCTTTCTTCAATCGACCAAGTAGACCTCACAAATGCCCCTTGCATGTACCTAAAATTATTGCGAATCTGCTCTCTCCTTGATACGCGGAGTATTGCATCATAGCTGAATGAGTCATGCACCAAATCTCTAGCTGGAATTTGTATTACCTCCAAGCTGCTAGTATATATTTATGGCTCCATTTGCATTTCAGTTATACAGGGATGATGTACAGATTTCAACATAAGCTAGTTATAGAGGATTAACACAGGGGAAGTTGAATGTTCATCTCCACTTGAAATATTTGGATGAAATCAAATTTGAGTTCTGAATTCCCAGCATGTATTAGTTAGAAGAAATAAATTTATGGAATAAACATCTGTACTTGTTACCAATGTTTTGGCAACTCTTTTTCAATTTCTGGAAAGTTTATCTTGTCCAAGGGTATGATTGTAAGTAAAATTTTATATAGTTGTGAGCCAACTATAAGTTTAAGTTGTTATATAGTATAAAATTTATTTTTTAATGCAGTGAATCATATCAATAGCAATAAATTAGGAATGAGGCTGTTTGAGAGAAGGTGAGAGTAACTTTTATGCTGGATAGACGAGAAAGCGAGACTAAAGTGGCTTGGACATGTAACATGTGTAGAGAAGGTGTATTGACGCCTCAACAAGGAGGTGCGAGAGGCTACGCTAGTCGTAGGAGGAACAAAGATGAATAAAAATAGATCAAGAAAATATTGAGAAGAAGTAATTAGACATAATATGAGTAATTTCTATATTTATCGAATAATTTTTAATCTATATTATTTATGTATTTTCGATTATCCCACCATTTTACATTCTATTTCCAACCAAATCTTATAAAAAAATAATGCTCTTGTTTTTCTTCTTTCCGAAGAAACCTCCACCGCCTCAAGCTCAATCCCTGTTCAATATTTTAAATCCACCTCCCTACTATTTCATTTCTAAGTTATAATAACCCAAAGCGCTTTTAAAAAAATAGAGACAAAAAATCTAATGCAATTATCAATCTTCCGATCAGGGGTCAATAGAATTCCAAATTGCCCTATTGGAATTTTGAATCTTATCAACATCTGTCTTCTACTTATCGTTTCAATTCCAACAATTCAGGGTATGAGAATGCATCCTCTCTCCTTGAATCCAAAAATTGGACGAATTGATTCTAATTTTTCACAACAGCAACAACACGTTCCTAATTCCGCAATGAAGAAACTCCGGAGACTTCCTCACGTATTTAACTACTTTTTGGAATTGCCGTTCCGTTCTGATGCAGATGTGGCGGTCGAAGAGAAGGAAGGATTCTTCCGTTTCGTGGCGAAAATCGAACTAGGAGGAGCTTGGAATGGACAAGTGAGAGCACAGGCAGTAGAGATTTATCCTGGGGTAACGAAGATCGTTGTGAGAAAGGGAAATGGAGACGGTGATGACGATGAAAAATTGAATGTGGATACATGGAGGTACAGGTTGCCTGCTTCGACTATGCCGGAGATGGCCACAGCGGTATTTGTGGACGGTGAGCTTGTAGTGACGGTGCCCAAGGATGACCATGGCCATGGAGAGTTTGATAATAGAGGTGTTTGGAGAGACGTTGACCAACTTGTTCTTGTACAATAGTTAACTTTTTCATATTTGATGTATTAATTACACAAACAAATACTATATTGGAATATATGTTTATGACGAAACTTCAATATATATACTATATATCTGAACTTCAAATCATATAAAACTTCAAACATCGAATAAAGTTTTGAACACCATATGTCCAAAGTTACTATGAAATAGTACATACGCAAAACAACAAGTTCTTGTCAATTGTAACATACATATGTATGTTTACTTAAACAACAAGGTATATAGTTCCATTGAAATAATGAACACACTTGGCCTCTTTCTTTTTGAGCACATGGTGATAATGTATTAATGTACGAGTAGCAATGTATCAAATCATAATATCAAATTATTTTTTATAATGATGAAGTCCGGATTAGCTTGCACATTTCATTGTGTACTTGTTGTCTCCCATCAATAAGGGTAACTTTGCAATTAAAGTTCAGGCTGATCGGTGTCATCCAGTTTCTTTCGCTTCTGACTGAGATTTTGATCTTGCGAGGTATCACAGTTAGCTGAAAAATACAGAAATTAACTTCATGAAAATCATTGTCCAAAATTTGAAGGATTAAAAGAATCCTACGTGATATTAGAAATATTTAGGGTATGAACTATCACAAGATACGATAATAATAGCAAATTGAGCACTAAATCAAGATTCATGAAATACGAAAGACACGACATCTAGTCAATCATCTTTAGAAATAGGTGCCCATCAAACCCAACAAGAAGAATCACAAGAACAATAATAACAATATCTATCTACATATATCAGCCTGACAGATAGGCTGGAAATCTAAGCAGTATTGCTAAAGGCAGAGAACCAATAACGTTAGCTTCATCCAAAATGATGTGTGTCAAAAAAAAAAAAAATGAGACGTTCAAAATCTGTGAAACGAAGGCATGAATCAAGGAAGAATGACTTATCTAAGATAGATTTGAACGAAGGAAAAAGAACACACGCTAACCACTAGAAAGAACAAGTCAGACAAATTTGAATATGAGCGAGAAAATCCATTAGGAGCAAAACACTGAAAATCAGAGAAGAAGATTGCACAACTTCTCTTCTTCTCAGATCAAATAAGAGCTACGCTCGCAATTTTAGCTTGCGAGACCAATTGCAAAATCTTAAAAAAGCTTCTAAAGGTTCCTCTCTCTCTGATGCGGTCAAAGTTGTTGGATCACCAGTAACAGATGATGAACTTATCGTTAAGATTTTAAGCGGACTGGCCCTGAGTACGGTGAAATCTCTGCTTCCATAAGATCAAGGGATTCTTCCTTGAGTTTTGAAGAGTTGTTTCACAAGCTTACAGATTATGAACTTTTTATCTTCCATGATCACAGCTGCTGTCACACAGAAGATGAACATGCCATCCAAGTCTTATAGGAACAATCTTAATCACTTCAGCAATCAACAACGGAAACCTCCTGTAACTCAAAAGTCCAGCAACAAGAGTCATCAAGACTGGAGGTCGAATTCGAGACCATCTGTCTGCTGCCAATTGTTCTAAAAATTGGGTCACACAACAGATGTATATATTTTTATCATGATGTCTGCTGCCAATTGTCACACACACTTACGGTTGTGATCAACTTGCTGATACATTTAATATTTACCAAGCCCTTGCCAAAACCAGCCTTTGAGTAGTGTTGTTCCAAGTTAGGCATTGTTGCACTACGCCTAACTTGAGTGGGTGTATTAATCATTAGTTGCTCTAATTATTAGTTCCTGTAACTAATACTATTTTAGAGTATCAATAGATGACTCCCCCTATTTTTTAGGAGTTCAGGTAGTAGTTGGTTTACTTAAGTGTAGCTGTAGGTTATTCTTATCTGTCGTATTTAAAAGTGTGGGTACTGAATGAATAAGATTATCTTTCGACTACTTTTCTGTTTTATAAGAAGAAAAATGTGAAACTTCTCGAGGATAACCACATCGGTGATCTGAATTAGTATAAAAATCTGTGTCAACTGTGTCTTTTATCTCTTTATGCCTTATATAATATGTTGTTTTATCTAATTCTCTAAACTCTAGGGTAATTGACTTGAAGAAATCAATAGTCGACCAATTATAACTTGACCAACATTCGAAAATAATTTCGATTCACCTCCTCACCCCACACCATCCTCTTTTGTTTCACATACTAATGTGGTGATACAGATCATGCAACAAATAATTCCTCTTTCATACTCTTTCCAAGGCACTCCAATTTTATTTTCTTGTCATATTGCAGTTTAGTTTGCACCAAGCGTTTTTGGTATTTGTGGACAACAGGAAGCACTGAAATAGACATAACTTACAACGCACAGATGTATATATTTTTCATCATGAAATAGACTATACTTAAAACAAAATAAACACATTTGCACATAAATATTTTGCTCGAATACAGATATTCAAGTCAAAGTGACAGGTCAACACAAACAAGACTATGACAAGATAGAGAGGTTACCAGTGCTATCCCCACAGTTTTCCCTTTTCAATGCATCTTGAATGCCGACTCCTTTCACAAGCTGATAGGATTATCAAATTGGTTATTCTAGTAACTAAACCTCAAAACTGAAAAAAAAAGATAGCATCATAGGAAACAAAGTGCCATTAATCCATTAGTTATACCTTTGCATTGATTGGTTTAATACGATCCAACAACTCTTTTGCACTACTTTTTTGTGAGTGACACAAAATACGAATGCCAAGATTCAAAATCTTTTTGATGTCAGCATAAGAAGCAACAGATGTGCAAATGCTTAAAAGCTTCAAAGCATGTGGAACCAAATCCGTCCTTGAATCACAATATCGACAGAGATACTCTGCATTCAAATTGATGCTTCCTTTGACTGTCCCAGCCATGTAAGATCGTAGAGCACACTCTAGATGGGAAACATGTCCACATATGTGGCCATCAACTACTGTAGCTTCACATCGGATGTAACTGTACCCATCATAGTCCAAAACAATAAGCTTCCCGCAAAGTATACAACAGCAGTCTCCGCAAAAACCAGGCTCACTGCAACAGAGATCACAAAATCTGGTGCTCGTCAAAGGATTTTCTGCTGTTAAACTGCTACAGATTCGGTTTCCAGCCTTACAAGTAATGACTCCGAAAGGAGAATCAGACAGTAAAGGCTGCATTTTTGTCCCCGAAGATGTAGTCCTTTCTTTCATATCTGAGTCAAAACCAATACCTAAATAATGAAAAAAAATTGGCATAAGGTTAGTAAACTACCAGTAGTGGCGGAGCCAGAATTTCAATAGTTTTTATGCCAAGTAGATTCAACAACTTACAGATATGCAAAAAAAGTCCTTTTCCCTATCTATATGGTGTAATTTTCAACGAAGCTCCGTTGCGCACATTATAATCATGGACAAAATTCACTTCAAAAACAAAAAGGTTCACCAAAAGGGAATAAAAAAATATAAATTTGTGTGGACTGACTAGGTACTTGTAATGAATAGGAAACCAAGTTCAGATCACCATTTTCCTAAAAATCCAAATTCTTAAGAAAACTCGAAATGTTTGACTTCAAAATTAGGAATTAAATAGCCTCTACTGATGGGGTAATAAAATCTTGAAGTAAACAGTGGGTAATAAAGACGGGGAGTCAAAAAACGTTACCCAATTGAAGAATCTCGAAAAGCCCCTTTTTTATTGCCTTTACCGAGCTCCCGAAGTTCAAAAATGGTGAAATAAGGATGAATCCATGATTTTGGAAAGAAGAATCTATCCAGGTCACTTTTACCCTTCCCAATCGCGACCCATTGTGATGAGTAATGCTGGTCAACTCATTAATTGACCATCGTGATCGTGACACAGGGCCACGCAATCAGGATGCTCAAGATGCTATTGCGATTGCAACATCCTCCATGCGATCGTGAAGCACAAGACCACATACCAATGTGACCGCAACCAAGAGCCTCGCGATCAGAAAGAATACTTAACATGCATCAGATACAACACATCAGCAAACACAAAGACTCAACAAAATCACCTAATGAACCCTCGAGATTCATTCGGAATTTTGCACACACAAACCAGATATGCTACCCAACTAAACTCGACGTTCCAGACTCAGTGAAACGCCGGAACACGGATACAAAGTCTCCATAAGTATCCATTTAAGTTGCAATAAACTAACTTCTACTCAAAAACACTAAACTGCCCTCGAAACTTATAAAATCTCAACCAAGATCTTATGTAGGACTAAAACATCCCTCTAAGTTCCAGTAGTGTCATCAGAATTCCAACCTTAGTGTTCAAACTCTGTATGTTGACCAAAGTCAACTATTGGCCTAATTATACTTAAACTTCCAACTCAAGGGCTCAAATCCACGAAAATGACCCCATAATTGAAAACAACCAAATTCTACAGTTTGGAGCTGATGGAACAGACTAAAGACCCCATACTTCAATGTATTTGTTAAATAGGCTGCCAACAAAAGCTGTGGATGAAAAGACTCCTATTGAGGCATGGAGTGGAATACAACCATCTGCAAAGCATCTAAATGTTTTTTGTTCGATATGCTACTGTCATGTTCCTTCTGTGAAAAGAAGCAAACTTGAACCAAAAGGTGAATTGGGGATCTTTATTGGTTATTCATCACAAGCCAAGCGTTATAGAGTTTTCAACTTGCAAAAAAAATGTATTACAATCCAAAGAGATGTAGTCGTGGATGAGCATGCTTATTGGAACTGGGATAAGGAGAAAATTGAAAAATATAATGCAGTTTTTTTAGAACTTGAGTCCGCTGCCTGAAACCCAATCATTTGGGTCCCAAACTCTGGAAGAAGACGAAGAATCAGACGGGGAATCCTCACTTGATTCACCAATTTTGAAGACAAGGTCCCTTTTCGAGATATATGAAAGATGTAATGTTGCAATATCGGAACCAAATAGCTATCAAGAAGCATCAAGACATGAAGTTTGAATTGAAGCCACAAGGGAGGAGATTGGTATGATAGAAAAGAATGATACTTGGAAGTTGGCTGATAAACCCAAAAATATAAATGTAATGGGGTAAAGTGGGTTTATAGAACCAAACTGATAGAATATATGCCTTCACTTAACAAGTAATGGACCAGGTCCCTTACTACACTAATGAATAAAATCAGAAAGTTAAACGCAGTAAAATCAACACGATGATTTTACGTGGAAACCTCCTTGCTTAAGGGAGTAAAACCACGACCTGTCTCACAGGATTTTCAATCGTTTTCACTAATCTTCAAAAGCAAAAGTAAAACACGATTACACCAAATGTGAGAAAGAGTTATCAATCTCACAGTTAAGCAATAGTCCCTATTGCTTAACAAGCCTAAATAGAAAACTATCTACCCACTAAGTTATTCCACTTGGACAACCTAGACTTTTAACACTACACAACAATTCCTTTATAGATTGAGGAATAGTTTACAGTTTACGAACAAGAGAATGTATTCCTAAACAACTATTACGAAAAGCTCCAGAGATTGGTGTTGTTGTTGGAATACTTCTGCCTTTTGTTTTCTAGCAGCCTTTGCAAATGTTCTTGAAGAGGTTTCTCTCAAGTTGCAAAAACTACCAAAAATGTTTAGGAAAGTGCCTTTTATGTGGACAAGTCACTTTCCTAAACCTCTTTGCCATTGGCTGGAAGAGTCACACTTTCTGACGCCATCGGGAAGTGTGCACCTACTTTCTGTACCGTCTCCAGCTGGCAGTTAACTGGCTCATCATCATGAGAGCCTGGTACCTCTACTAGGTCCCTGGGTTTGTTTCATCTTCAATACTCAAGTAAGAAACCTGGTACCTTTACAAGGTCCCTAAGTTTGTCAAATCATCAAAACTACAAATAACACAAACTCAATCTAGAGAGCTCAGTTTATAAATACAAAGCCAGACTTATTGTGAAAGGTTAAGCGCAAATTGCAGGTCTGGATTATGGAGACACGTTTGCACCTATTGCACGACATGATACAAGCTGCTATTTGCTTTCGCAGCTCAGTCAAATTGGAAGTTGTATCATTTATGTGAAATCAGCATTCTTAAATGGATTGTTGCGGGAGGAGATCTATGTTGATCAACCAGAAGACTTTCAAGTTGCAAGAATGGAGGATTAAGTCTACCGACTTCATAAGGCATTGTATCGGCTAAAGTAGGCTCCTCGAGCATGATACAGTAAGATTGATGATCATCTCATTCAATGTGGCTTCAAGAGAAGTGAAAATGAAACCACTTTATACATGAAGAAGGCTAAAGGAGAAGACGTGTTTGTGGTGTCACTCTATGTTGTTGATCTTGGTAACAGGAAGCAATAAAGCTATGGTGAATCAGTTCGTGCAAGAAATGGAGACCAAGTTTGAAATGTCAGATTTGGGCGAATGAGTTACTTTTTGGGAATGGAGATTCATCAAGCTACTGTTGGAATATTTATTTCTCTGAGAAAATATGCATTGGATATTCTTGAAAGATTCAAGATAGAGAGGTGCAAGCCTGTACTGACCACACTGGTTCACAATGAAAAGATTTCGAAGTTTGAAGGGGTCACAGGGGTGATTCAACAGTTTATAGAAGTTTGATTGGTAGTTTACTGTATTTGACAGCAACAAGACCCGGTCTCATGTTTGCAGCAAGTCTACTATCGAGGTTTATGCAAGCTCCAAGTCAAGTTCATCTTGGTGTTGCTAAAAAAACGTTGAGATATATCAATAGAACTGCTGATTATGGTATTTTGTTTAAAAGGGAAGAGCAAGGGCAACTGATAGGTTACTCAGATATTGATCGAGCAGGAAGCGTTGATGATATGAAAAGCACTTCTGGATATGCTTTTGCACTTGGTTCAGGCATGTTCTCATGGAATTCAAAGAAGCAAGAGATGGTAGCTTTATCTTCTGCAAAAGCAAAATACATCGCCACTGCTGGTGCAACTAATCAGTCTCTATGGTTAAGAAATATTCTACGTGATCTGGAGCAAAAAATGACATTGAAGCTACTACATTAAGGTTGACAACAAATCAGTAATATCTATGGCCGAAAATTCAGTGCAACATGCTCGTAAAAAGCATATAAATGTGAAGTTTCACGCTATCAGGCAAGCAGAGAAGGATGGCAAAGTTAAACTTGTTCATTGCAACTCAGATCAGCAGATTGCAGACATCATGACCAAGACAGTCTGGACCAATAGTTTTAGGCAGATATGTTTTATTTCAATTGATGAAAGGAAAATAAGCCAAAGGGAAGACAATATTCTCTTGTTTATTTTAGGTAACTATAATTAGTATTAGTTTAATTAGGAGACCCTTTGTCCTAATAGATTTGGAAAAGGAGAATATTGTTCTTTTAAGATTAGGAAAATACTATATTAACTGTGTGCTGTTTCTCTGTGTTCAGTGGTAGATCCGCCGCTATCAGCTTCCATCTCTGGCTGAATCCTTACTGTCCTCCGTGTTTGCCTGAAGCTCGAGTCACTTAAATTTAGGTATTTTCCAACCATTTATTCGAATCATTTAGTTAGTTAAGACTTAAAACTGAAAAATGTCTGATCGGTCTGAGCTTAACTCTGATCTTCTGGTTATATTTGTTAAGCGTATTAATTTGATTAAAGATTTTCTTAGTTTTGGGACTGTCTGCAAATCCTGGCACTCTCTGGCCACAAAGGATAATGTTAATGTAGCCGAGGAAGAGGATGATGACACATGCAGGAAATTCTTCAGTCTAGAAAATGGGATGATTCTGAAAAAGAGTATACCTAGAGCTAGGGGGAAAAGGTGTGTTGAGTCGATGAGATGACTTGTAACATTCCGAATAAGCCAGAACGAAACAAGTTTGTTGCATACATTTTCTGGTGTTGAAATCCAGCTGCCAGATAAAATTCTATACCAAGTGAGTGCCACATTCGAGAAATAATGAATATTGTGGACACGTCACTTTCTCACGAGCAATCTCTATCCATAAAGTATTTTTGTCAGCTAATCCTTCTCATACATCTGACTACGTTCTAATGATCATTGAGGGAGATTTCAGTTTCCTCATTCTATGGAGACCAGGTGATTTGTTATGGACCAGACTATCGCCCTACAATGGACAAATTACTAATGTAGTATATTTCAATGGAAAATTTTTTGCAGTCGATTATATGGATTGTATCTATGTTTGCTATGCCTCTGGCTCTGAAATTGATGAAAACCACCCCATAGCACAGCTAAATCAACGTATTGATGGTATTATAACATCCTAGGATCTTTTTCTCCTGTTTCGAGAAGGATGCAGCTTGGACATGGGGGTGTTTAAATGAAAGTATCCAGCCACATTATGATGGTGTTTCCATCAGTCGTGTTAATTTTTCAAGAAGTCTTTTTAGAATTTCGTAATACATGTATCTAGTAAATTGTGATATATGTATTTAGTTATTTGTGCAAAACATTTGATTTACATTATTACTATAAATATAAACGTAGTTGATGATTGTAATCATCTCAAGTGGCCTATAATGAACTTGAACATTCTCTAAAGATACTATTTTCCTTCCATATTTCCTACAGGATCTACCAGTGAACACAAAGAAGCAGCACACCATTAATATAGTATTTTCCTAATCCTACCACTTGGGGATTCTAAGACATGATACACAATATAGTCTAAGAGATTCTTAAGTATTGTAAGCTTCTTTTTTTTCTTTCATAATGAAAAACTCTATCTGCTTTTGTCGGGAGGAGTAAGCCTAACTGAACTTCATTAAATCTTTGTGTTATTCTTCTTCTCTAGTTTTTCTATGTTTGTGATTGTGTGCTAGTTAATCCACATATTTCCGCATCAATAGATATACAATACATTTCCATTTAACCTTGTGAATGAAAATGGATATATCTTAAAAATTCCAACTATTTCTCTCCTTCAACCTTTGAGTTTGATTATTATTCATTTCCTTTTGTAGTTCAATTATTGTTTTACCTTGTTTTTTACTTTTGTTCAGGTTGATTTGTAAGATTGTCTATATTATCTTGCTATAAATTTTTCATTTATGTTATTTCTTTCTTTATACTACTTATGACCGTTATTTCTCTTGAGCTGAGGATTTATCATAAATAGTCTATCTACCTAAGTAGTAGTAAGGTCAACATACACTTTACCCTCTTTATATCTCATTTTGTTAAATTACATTGCGTATTTTTCTGTTGCGGATAATTAAACATTATAAAACAATTAAAAAACAGGTAACTACAAACTCCAAAATACAACAACCATTCCAAATACTTTCCGTACGAACAACACAATTGTGTTTACACTTTTCTATATTTTGATTTCTATAATACACAATTCGACCAAAAATGGATGTCAATGACTTCCTTAATAATTTCTAAAGTAAAATGATCAATCTCAAAGCTTAACCAATATATATCTATACGACCTGTAGGTAAAGTTATTGGATAATGAGCTACATCCATTGTTCTCTTTTGTAATTAATGGATATTCAAAATACTTCTCAATGAGTATTAGAATAAATACTCTCATTAAACATGAGAACATAACAAAGTTTACTCCTAGCAGTATATTATACAAATTTTCACATTTTGTTTGGTAAACTGCAAGTACTTGTAACTGGTATCATATCATTCACATTTGACAGAAAAGGAAACAAACAAACTACTACGTAAAGACTAGAGATGGAACAAAGTCCATGGACATGGATGCATGTGTAAAGGCCAAGAGGTGAGACATGTGATTTGGAATCGGTCCTTACACATAACTCGGTAAATATTAATTTTTTTTCGAAGTTTAGTATACACAGTGAGCCATGTGGTTATTACTGCTTCATTTAAGTGATGCAAACAACTGAATAAATCTCTACATGATATATACCGAAGAGCCTTGTTGAAGCTAACCTTTTGAGCTTGCCGACTGCTTTGAAGGAATCATCCAACTGAATGAGGCAAAGAATCGATTGATATCCATACCAGGGTACGCAGATTGGAGATATTTTTTTACTGAAGCCTTACTTCGAAAGGCATTTTCCTTTCCATTTTTTGGTGCCTGAAAACGCTCCGGAAGATACAAATATCTATCTTTGAAGGTGCCTTTGTTTGTAGCTCTTTTCCCTGTCCTCCATCCCCACTTATCACCAACATTTGGCCAATCCATAGGAGCATATGGTAAACCTTCACCACATTCATTCTCAGAAACTGGATACAGTTGAAGCCCAGTTTCATTGATTGTAGATGCACTCTCATTATATACAACAAGTGCAAGACTCTCCACAACCTCCTCGTTGGCTGACATTTAGCTGGAAATCTCTAATTCCGTTGATACCAATGAAAGTCTGAAATCATAGAAAAATAATAAAGAAAAGAAATGTCAAAGTCCACATCAGAAAGCAAACTTTTTTTGGCTATAAAAACTATACTTCATATGAAAATAAATGTAAGAACTACAAGTATTGGCTACCTAACCAGCAGCATGCTTGCTATAAACATTTGAATTTATACAACTCTTTATCGGTTTCCTCCCATTAATGCTATGTTTTGAATTTACTTCACCCCTAGTTTTATAAGAAACAATCAACTCGACTATATATTTAATTAAACTTACTATTTATAGTAGACAATTCCATTTAGGATAGTTAGTGATAGTTAGCGCTTTTATTTAGTGGAGGAACTAGTTTCTCGCAATGTAGTCAATTGGACCCCCTTCACTAACAAAATATACTGTGCAATTATGGCAGACCTAATCTTCCTAGTTATGTGTAAATTGTTGAATCCCCTTGACATAAGGTAAGATACTAGTGTAGTGGCCAATGGGGTTCAAAATTTGTTTTAGATATTCAAATCTTAGGTGTACATTCTAGTATTTATCTCAAAATTTATTTTTGAATCTCTATAAGTCAATGCTATAATTGCATCTGCCAACTGTAGATTAACTGTTTACAAATACCAACCTGCACCTGAGGACAAGTTAAGTGGTCAGGCGCCTCCATGGCACAATGGGTGATGGATCACTCTAATACCATTGATACAATCGAGGAGAACATGAAACTAATATGGAGTAAAGAAGACAATAAAAAGCTTCTAACACAAATGAGTATATTACCTACTTGAAGAAAAAAAAACATTATTTTTTAAGCATCGAGGACAAGTATATTAATTAACAGAAAACCCTGATTGAATTTGAGAACATACCTGAGAGATTAGGAACTTGACTAAACGGTTCTCCTGCTAATCCAAGACAAACAAGAAAAACATAAAATTCAAATGCAAAGGAAAAAGAAAAAATCAAAACCCTAAAACGGCCTTGTGAAATGCAAAGGCTGTAATAAGTTTTTTTTTTAGTATTCAAAAACTTTTATACTCCCTCCATGTGTGAATTGGTACACACCTGTCACATTCCTTAACGAGCAATAATTAAAAGAGTAATTATATTGTATCATTCTTTGAATATAATTAATTATGTATTAGGGAAATCAATTGTACTTCCTCTAGTTTATATATTATAACTCTCCTCTTAAACAAAAATATTTAAGGACAACATTAAAGACTAATTTTTAATTATTAATATTCCTAAATTATTCTCTTAACAAACGTAAAGTAATTAATAACATCATTAAAAGAAAGGATAGATACGGAAACAAAAATCCTAGTAACAATTATCTTGAACTTTGAAAATTTCACTTATTTTGAACTATAAAAAAACTTTTGACAATTCACTTAATTTGGATTAGAGAGTAAATCTTAGTAGTTCAATTTGTTTGGACTTTTGTTTCATCTTGTTGGTGAAGGTCCAATTTATCAATAGCTGATTGATGGTAAAAGAGGAAAGTTTTCAAAAAAATATAGTAATGCTCAAAGTCACACTTGCATTGTCAGTTTTTTTTTCTTTCTACATAAATTATATATCACCATATATGTAACAAACACACACGCCATTTGAATAGTTGATTGTATATATATAGTATGCGATCTGTATTTTAATTATATACAAAGAAGATGTTAAGCAACAATTCACATGAATATATATATATATATATATATATATTTTTATAATAATTATTATTATTACGTTATAATTAAAAATAATTAAGTCCAAAAATTGTATCATACAAACAATTTTAAAAAAATATATAGTCGATACCTCAAAGAAAAATATAGAAGAAGAAAGAAAGAAAAAGGACAACATAATCTTATATGCTACTGCACTTTCCATCCAAACAAACTATACAAAATCCTCTCTTCCAAATAAAAACTATAAGCATATAACTTATACAAAGTGTAAGCGTATAATTTAAAATTATGAACATTTATTTTTTAAATGGTTAAGAAAGAGAGTGGATATATCACTTTTTGGATTTTATTGATATATAATAAAGCAATACTAATTAATGTGAGATTACTAGTACATAATGAAAAAGAGAAAATTTAAAAAGAATAATGATATAAATCAAAAAACAAGAGAAGAGATATAAGTTATATATATATATATATATATATATATATATATCTCAAGGAACTTTCTTCTGTGGGTGATTTATGTAGTTAGAAATTTCATATAATAAAAACAATGCTCCATATACTATATGATAAAATAATAAAACTTATCTAAATTTATGTTTATAGTAATATATACATATTTCTTTGCTTAAATCTAATATCGATTCGTAAGAAGATAGCCCGTACATTTATGAGCTTATACTTTAGGTAATTAATTGTTGTTATCTTTTCACTTTTGATTCACCAAAAACTATGTTGAAACTTGATTACAAGAAACTGTCTTTTACTGGATTACAAGAATCCTAAAACTTTAGAGACAAAAAAAACAATATACAAAAGAATCGAGAAAGCATGAAGGAATTTTGCAGGTTACTATTATTTATATTTTACTTCTTGAACATGCTAAATTGAGATGAATTTGGTCTACCGGAGTATTCACACCGAAGAAAATTGAAGTTTTGATCTATTTAGATACCTAATAAAAAGAAAAATAAAATAAGAGTATAGTGATAAAAGAATACATGTAATGAGAGACTGCAAAAATTATAATAACTTCACAAATATACTTTTGTTACAAGATATACCCACGCTCATATAAAATAAAAAGAATTACAATGAAGTTGTCACGCCCTGAGCCTACATCTTGGGCGGAATCGAAACTCAAATGCCATTGTTGGACCCCAAGCGAACCCTTGGCTTGACTTCTGGAAGTCATATCTCCCTCATATAACCTCAGAATTTTGCAAACTTGATATCGTTTGAAAGATCTTCCGACGAGCTTTCCAATCATATAAAGAAGGCATAATACATATATTGAACCTTAAACTTGGCTTCAAATTTTAACATTGACCTCAAACTTTCATAGTGCACAAATAGGCACATTAAAGGACAACATTAAAGAATATATATCGTACTTACAAAAATAATATTGTAATTAAGTCTTTTCATCTACTCTTATTGGAATTCTTAAAGACAAACTTATAAAAATAAAAACTGAAATACTTTTTCAAGTAATACATTATAATAATATGGCTTAGTCTTTTTACTCACTCTTATTAAAGTGCCACTTAATGTATCAGATGATTTAGAAAATTGTTCTGTATTTTGTGCTTCCAACTTAATTGAATTATAATATATTTATATTAATTCATATCAAATACTGCCAATTTGCAAAGGATGTAGCATCTTTAGGATTACAATTTAGAAAGAAGGAGAACAATTGATAAAAACCTTCCTTTGGTTGGTATAGCACGATTTAAAAAAAAAATATTTTTGATGTGCATAATTGATTTTGTCATTGCTTTTGACACCATATCAGTTCGTTAGGTGACTTTTTCGTATTTCTCATCTTTTTATAATATTTTAATGTAGTGTTGTTGCTTATGTAACATCTAAGTAAGCTAAGAAAAACAAGAATAATCAAATTTGGAAATAAGTAAAGGAATCTGGAAAATTTTCACATTTTAAAAGTAAGTTTTGACCATTTTCAAACAGCCATAACTTCCAGCTCAGGATGAGTTCTTTATAGTCATAATACATATATTGGATCTTAAACTTGACTTCAAATTTTAATTTTGAACTCAAACTTTTATAGTGCACAAAGAGGCACTTTAACTAGCCTATCTTTTAATAAATAAACACGCGATTTTTGAAGTCAAAGTGCGTGAAATGCAAACGCTCCCACGTGTATTAGTGAGCCAATCAGTGACTGCCAACTAATTAAACATTTTACACGTCTTTTTTTTAAAAAAATATCTTACACGTTATTTTGAAACTTAAAAAAAAATTAATTTTAATTAATATAAAAGAGATTCATTAAGGGTAGAATTGTTATTTCAACATTTTTTTACCGTTGTGGGCTTCAAAATTACCCCTCACTGGCGCAAAATGCGTGCATTTTACGCATTTTGTCAGGTAGGAATTGCGTGTTTATTTATTGAAAGATAGGATAGCTAAAGTGCTTATTTGTGCACTATGAAAGTTTGAAGTCAAAGTTAAAATTTGAAACCAACTTTAGGGTCCAATATATGTATTATGCCTTCTTTATATGAATCGAAAGCTCGTCGAAAGATCTTTCGAACGACTTCAAGTTTGCGAAACTCCGAGGTTGTATGAGGGAGATATGACTTCCAGAAGTTGGGCTGTTGAGCAGGGCTTTGAGAGAAATAAGAAAAGAGGAGAAGGGAGAAGAAGACGCGAGAACACCAAGAATTCGTTCGTGGATTTCGTCGGGTGTGATCCCCAACAAGGTATGTGAGATCCCAAATTGCCCTATTGGAGACACACTTAGGTCAATAGAATCCCAAATTTCCCTATTGGAGTTTGAATCTTATGAACATTTGTCTTCTTCTTATCGTCTTAACCTCAACAATTCAGGGTATGAGAGCACATCCTCTCTCCCTGAAACCAAAAATTGGAGGAATTGATTCAAATTTTTCAGAACAGCAACAACACATTCCTAATTCCGCAATGAAGAAACTCAGGAGACTTCCTCATGTATTTAACTACTCTATGCAATTGCCTGTTCCGTTCTGATGCAAATGTGGCGGTGGAAGAGAAGGAAGGATTCTTCAGTTTGGTGGCGAAAATCGAACTAGAAAGAGCTGGGGATGGACAAGTGAGGGCACAGGCGGTAGAGATTCATCCTGGGGTAACGAAGATCGTTGTAAGAAAAGGAAATGGAGATGAATGATGAGGATGAAAAATTGAATGTGGATGCATGGAGGTACAGGTTGCCTGCTTCGACTATGCTGGAGCTGGCCACAACGGTATTTGTAGACGGAGAGCTTGTACTGACGGTGCCCAAGGATGACCATGGCCGTGGAGAGTTTGATAGCAGATCTAGAGGTGTTTGTAGAGACGCTGACCAACTTATTTTTGTACAATAGTTAACTTTTTCAGATTTGATGTATCAATTACACAAACAATTAGTATATCAGAATATATTCTTATGACGAAACTTCCATCATATATACTATGTATCTAAACTTCAGTCATATAAAACTTCAAACATTAGATAAAGTTTTGAACACCATATGTCCAAAGTTAGTATGAAATAGTACATACGCAAAACAACAATTTCTTGGCAATTGTAACATACATACGTATGTTTACTTAAAC